TTCCATAGAACAATGAAACGATTCTTGTACCGTGGAACCATAGCGAGTATAACTCCTTTTCTGATGGAATTAAATAAATTCTTGTATCTGCTAGCGTGGAATCAAACTGGACAGATTCTTAACTTTATAGATTCTTGCATATGGAACACCTTCAGCACTTGGCCGCATGGTGCAGCATCTGCGCTATGGAACAACTAAAGCAATGGGCGTGAGCACTGTCATTTCCTTTTCGTTCATATCTAATTAGTACCATGATGTTATAGATCCTGACACTTGCTAGGGGAAACCGTCCGAAAATTGAGTCGTTCTTAGTCATGAAAAATCAACGTGGAAGATTAACAAAGTTCGTGTTCTTGCGAGACAAACAGAGATGAATAGAGTGTTTCTGCCTCTGTTTGAAACATTTATAGTATATCACACACGCACAGAACAAGAACTTCATGTCTACTATATAGATTTTTCACTAGTCACGACTCAATTTTCAAACGGTTTTCCCTAGACTACGGTAGCTAACGATAGAGGGAAATTTCCTCTCTAGTTACGGTATATGAATGTCGAGATTTATTTATATGATCGTGATCGGTACTTAACCAAGTTAAGCTATATCTCACAAATATTCAAAGTCAATTTTCTCAGAAACAAAGCATCATATGAAAAAATTTTATTCTATATTTTCGATTTATTTTTTCACATAGAATTACCTTTTGCCCGATTATACTATAATTATCACCACAACTGTGTTTCTTATTTAAAAAATATCATATTATAGTAAGTCATAATATACACACATTTGTAGTTATAATTTGAAATAATAAAAAAATGTCGAAGGATTTCAGTAAGAAAAATATACAATTTTAAATAAATTATATGTAATTGTGACTAATATATTTTATAATATTAGTGAATAAAATATGTATTGATTTTAAATATAAAAATTACATTTATATAATCTAGTATAATAATTAATAAAATAGAAATTAATGAAATTGTGGAATTAAACTGATATCAATATTAGTCCATGTTTCATGAGTTTGATGATTATTATTAAATAAATCATTATTTATCTTAAAAGATCGTAAAACATTTTACGTAAATGCGGAATATATAAAATAAGAAATTACTGAAATATTCAAAAAATTATTTTCTTGAATTTATCAAAATTCAAATTCAAATTGGACATTTTTATCAGTCCTATTAAATCATTAATCTATAGCAAATTAGGTTATTATTCATTATGTTTGATTCATTTCATACATCGTTGATTAGATGATGTATCTAATTTCAATAATACTGTATGTCGAAATTATACAAAAGAAAAGTGTTTGACTTCAGTGAAAACCGTCGTAACATGACTAATGTCAAATAAGATCAAATTTTGCAATGCTAATAACAGTAATAATATTCGTTTAGCTGATAAGAAAGGGATCAGGGAATAGAAATAAATACATATTTAATAAGAAATGTTTTTAGTAGGTTTGACAGGAGGAATAGCTACTGGGAAAAGTAGTGTTGCTGCTATTTTTCATGAATTCGGTATACCTGTCATTGATGCTGATCAAATTGCACGAAAAGGTTAGAAACGAAACAAAACTTTTTCTCCGTGATAATTACGATGTAATTTGTTATAAGATGATTTTAATATTTTTGCTCTCATATTTCTTAATATATATATAAATATATTGTTCATATTTTTATTACTTTGTATATGTAAAAAAGATATATATTTCATTCATTTGTTTAAAAATTTATATGTTTTATATTATGTAGTTGTAGAACCTGGAAAGCCAGCTTGGCAAAAAATACGAAAAGAATTTGGTTCAGAAATGTTCTTAGATACAAATGAACTCGATAGAACGAAGCTTGGAGATATAATATTTAATGATGTAGAAAAAAGAAAAAAATTAAATGCTATAACACATCCAGAAATATATAAAGAAATATATTGGCAAACATTCAAATATTTTCTACAAGGACATCAGTTTATAGTTATGGATTTGCCATTACTTTTTGAAACAAGATATATGTTGAATTATTTACATAAAATAATTGTTGTAACTTGGTAAGGATTTTCATTTACTAACAATTATAAGAATACATATACATAAACTAATTAATAACTAATCAATAAATAATCAATATTTAAACTAATCAATAGTTTAAAGTTATTAAATATAAAACAAACTGTACATTTTACCTTAGCGAAGAAGATTTGCAATTACAACGACTTATGGAAAGGTCAGGTTTCTCAGAAGCTAAAGCAAAACTAAGAATTGCTGCACAAATGTCATTGGAACGGAAAGCAGAAATGGCAAATTTTGTTATTGAAAATTCTGGTAATGTACATGATACCAGAGAGCAAACTATTAGAATTATTAATGTTTTAAAGGCTTCCAAATACCATTGGAAGTTACGTTTTTTGGTTGGACTTTGTTGTACTGTTTTACTAGCAGGTGTATATTGGTTACGAAGTAGAAAAATATGGTCTTTACCAACTATAGTGTAATAGTCATTCACTTACAAATGCTTATAAACACAAATACCAAATTATAGTGAGATCTTAATACTGCATTTGTCAAATTTAGAAATTAACCTGTTTATATATATAAATAAGATAGTTTAAGAAAGTAAATAGCTATTACACACTTTACACACATTTGAAAATATAGGATGTAATGATATTATTTACTAAAATTTTCTTATATTATTTTTTTTTTTTGTAAACAAAGTGAAATATACTGGGGTCGTCTGGAAAGTAATACCCGTTTTGAAACAACAATACAAATGCATCTTAAAAAGTTTTCTTTATTTGTAATTTCAGTATATATATTAAATTTAGTATGTATACTAAGTTATTTTTGAAACAACCACCAGCTTTACATTTTAACACTTATCGTAACGTTATACGAGTTTTTGTATATCTTCGTCATACACTTCCGCCGCCAGTTCACATGATCATCATCTTACGCAATCCTTTAAATCATCGTTTCTTGTGAAACATCATCGAACAAAAAACTCTTGAAATTTTGCAAAAAAACTGCAATGAATGTCATTTTGCAATTAAATCACAGACACGATCTTGAGCTCCTCTGTAATGAGAAACGCACGACCTGAATGCTTATGGTCACGTAGTTTCTTTGTCCCTATTGAATTATCGCACCCACGATCTTACTAATAATTCATCCATAACTCTATTATCGTTACCTGCTGTAATTCGGTAATAAATAATTTTTGGAAGAATCTTTCAGCCTTCGAAAAGCGTAAAAGCGTCATCGACGAGATTTTCAATTCGTCTCGTCATTTTAAACGTGTGATACAAAGACAATATTAAATATTTAAACACAAAATTTTTCATGACTTATGTCAATACATGAATGAAGCTAGGTGACCTTCCATAAATACATTCCATCGTTTTATATAGTTGCTATATATAATAAACGGGTAGTACTTTCTGCATGATCCTCGTACATCATGCTTTACAGTTCTTCCAGTTGTAGAAATTGAGATATACATATATGTTAGTATAAGGTACAAGATTACAATTACTATTTGCTTTATACATATATTTGAATTGGTGAATGAATTATTAGTTACTATTAGTGATTCATATAATATCAGTAATTATGATAAATTTATATCTGATATATATAATTATATTCACTTTTTAGATAATTAACACGAAATGTATCCATAAAATGATGATATGTAATTTTATATATAAATAATGTACTTTAAAAAATAGCATGAGTCAAGACATATTACGTGAGAAAATGTTTTGAGATCTTAAAAGCAAATTTAACTGGTCTACATAAGTTGTTTTTAGTACATAAGTAACATTGATAATTATTAAGATGGAATAAGAAGTTGTAACAGTGATGGAAATACAAACTCGCGGGTTCAGTTGTAACTTGCGAATTTCTTAATATCTTTCGTATCACTGGTTATTACTCTTAGTATATCTATACTCTTAGTATAAATAAACAGCCAAATGACACATAATTGAAATTATATCAGAAGAGAAGATTGTTATAGAAAAATTTGTCCATGTGTTTCTATATGTACATACAAAAATTTATTTTTAACATTCCTATTATATTACCTTTTTTCCTTTATGTGATGGCGATCTTTACATTCATAAAATACCTACAAAGGAGGATATTACTGTAGAGACATGGCTAACCAATCTGTGTTTGCAAAAGTAGTCTAAAGTATCCATCTGGACAAAGAGCTTTGCAAATCCCATTTATTAGAACTCATAGGAAGAAATAGAGATCTTTTTACATACATATAGCTTTGCAAATTTGAAAATATTAAAATACAAATTTTGTACATTATAAATACATAATTTATAACAAGATGTATTTATTCTTAGATACATAATTCATTATTATTTATTCACAAGATTTCTAAGAAGATTATTCTCCACAAGATTATTTTACCTCTATAAAAAATAATGATTAAAAAGTGGAATATGAGAATAAATAATTTACAGATCTATACGTGAGCACATTTATTTCATTTTATGAATTTATCAATCAGTGCAGTTATAAACATTTTGAACATCAAAGCAATACAATTGTTTGAACAATTTATATATTTACAATTTCAGAAATCAAAAATATTTCGTAATATTTCGTAAATGTCAGAACATTCGATTCTCATTAATAAGAATAACGTTTAGAATGTAATGCTAAACTAAACAAAAGTTATATGAAATACATTTTTTCATAATTTTTTTAGAATAAAATAAAATATTAAGTAACAAAATAAAATCTTAAAAAACTTCAATTATGTGAACAAAGAATGTAGTATGAGTGCTACTTCTGAAGAATTTAAAGTAAGAAGATCTATCTTTTTAATGAAGTGCTTATTAACATAAAGTTATACATAAAAGATTATACATTTGTATGCATATATAAAATATACGAGTACTTATTGCTCAGTATCTTATACTAATTACGCAAAATATATACACATATATCAACCCATGACTAATAGTAATATGACTTGAAAACATACACATATTTATTTGGTTTATGGGATGCATATTACATTATCTGTATACCTGATTCTTACATTTATGGGTCAGGTTTAAATCCATAGTCTTTACTTTCCATCACCTAAACCCAAAGCCATTTACTTAAGTAAAATTGTAAAAACACAAAAGTTCACAATAAGTACTTAATTAATTAAAATATCACTATTTTATAAGAATCGTTAACTTATTTGCTAAAAAGATGGAAGTATAAAAATTTTTTCTGAGAAAATGAGGAAGCAACAGAATACTATTTACAGCAGTGCATAGAGAACAATCATAAGGTTCACCACCATTTTTGTCGTAGTGATAAACCTTAACTTTGAACTTTCAATATAATTCATTTACATGCTTCATTTTAGTTTTGTACTTATCTTAACATATTAGTCTAAACGAGTCATTTCTTATCTATATCTTTTTTAATTTACAAATTTTTTACTTGTACGAGATTATTTTTTTAATGATACAAAAAATTACCTACAAAATTATTTGTATCTTCATGATACTACATTATTAAAAAAAGAATAAGAGAATATCATTTTTGACCATCTGACATGGTTCTAGATCAATATTCTTATTAATCTAAATCTATACACACTTTGGACATTTATTGTGTTGCACATATCAACATATTAATGTAGTCGGCATTCACGTTCTGCAGAATAAATTATTGAAAGGAACGAAAATATTCAACTTAAGCAGCTGTAAGACATAATAGTACAAAACAATTATGATCGTTATTTTTGCTCTGTATGATAATTTCTATGAGTTCCTATATAAATATTTAAGATGTCACATTCTTTAATTAATATGACATTTTCATCTTTTTTTTTATAGTCTGCAGACACTTTCTCCATTTTTTCTTTTCATTCGCATTCATTACTGGTAGTCGAAGAAATACAGTATTATTTTGAAAGACTGAATGCAGGAGACAGCACTCTTGACTTGTCTATGTGCTTGAGGTACTATTTGACGTTCCCTTCGTGCTTATAATTTATTTACTGCAACACAGGCCTAAGTTCTTGAGTCATAATGGGATACGAAACCAACGGTGCAGTAGCACCGGATATCGAAAGAGGTAAACTAGCAGGTTGCTGTGTATTAGGTGGCTGTTGATTAGTTGCCTGAGGACCTGAACCGCTCATCGTAATCGTTTGTTGAGCCATCGTAACGATAGGCGGCGGGATTGATACTGGTGCCATTGAAACTGCTGCAATAGAAACAGGCGCAACTGTAGCTATACTTACAGGAACTGTCGCAACGCTTGCAGTAACTGTACGTAAAGTTCCAGCAGCTACCGCTGCGTTAACCATTTGTTGAGGTGTTGGAGCTTGCGATGGTGGAACAGTGTTTGTGATAGTAACTGCTGGAACTGTAACAGCTGTTACATTTGCAGTTCGTTTCCCTGACATTCTTAACTGAGCATTTTGATCCAAAAGAAATTCATTAGTTGCTGTTAGATCGCTAACCTAAAGAAATAAAACGTATAAATACGTCAATTATACATATACAACATAAAGAAAATAATTATAACAATGGAATTATATCGAATTGAAAATAATTATAGTAATAAAATTAAATCAAACTGACTTGCTTTTTTAATTCCTCTATTTTCTTTCTTAGTAACGCATTTTCATCTTCCAAAACAATTGCTCTAGCTTCATTACGCGGTATCACTGGATAATAATATCCTGGAGTAACCGGTTGCGCGGTATGTTGGCCTACGAGTGGTGAAGTTTCAAAATGAACAACAGTTTCACCAGAAACTATTCGTCTCTTTGGTTCAGGAGGTCCTATATAATCAGGTGGATGTGAAGATGTACTGTAACTATTATTTGTGACTAAATTGTGTTGATCTTCCATTTGCCAGTGAAAGCTATAAAGATATATAAATATATCATTAAACAAATATATTTCAAAGATATTTTGAGACATTTCAAAATATATTAAACATTTGACGAAAGTTTTGTCTTTTTTAAGATACACATCAAATAATTTAGATAGAAAGAAAATAAACAGTAAAATTTTTAAGAGACTCACTTTCTATCCTCCTCGTATCTGCGATTCTCACCATTACTCGTACCATTGAAATTGTGCTGCGGCCTGGACACATTATGATGTGATGTTGTGATCAAATTATGTTGTGGTTCTTCATTTTTCCAATGTCTAAATTTACAATTTGTCCTTTGGCAGCTACCCTTGATAAAATCCTTACACATTGGATATTCGGACTTTTCATTGTTATTTTTGAGCCTACTCAAGATATGAGCAGGTAATTCTCCTGTTGCTCGAAATCTCTTCTCCTCACTTTCTGTGCAATGAAGGAATTTGCAGCCAGGCCAATTGCACATCCCATTTTGAAAGTCGTGACAGAACGTGTATTCTTCTACAGGGTCGTCCTCGGAACGTTCGTGCAAATACTTGCAACGTTTACCCCTATGACACACGTTTCGCAGAAAATCTCTGCATACGCGGGTAGGTGATGCATCTCCGCTTACATTCGTCGCGCCTACTGTCTTGCTCGCTTGCCCGCCTCTCGTGCTATCCGACTTTTTTTTCAGCTTCTTCATCGATGATACATTGCGATCATACCTCGTAACGAATTCTTAATCAATCGTTATTACTCACGCGTTATACGTATGTGCTGTAATTACAAAACAGTTTATTATGATACAATTGGTAACAGGTAAATCAATTTATTTTGTACAAAGATAGAATTTGTAAAATCGAACATAGGAAATAAGATACATTGTCATCGATTTTCCTATTGTCAAAAACTGGAACGTTAGAACAATATCGATATCGAGTATGTCAGTATAGAATCATAAAACAAGTTGACAAAACCAGTCAAAATAAAATGATTCTTGCAACATCGAATTGTTTTTGGAATTATTTATCAGAAAAACATTTAGGAACGCAAGATTTATTTTAGCAATTGATAAATATATGATAAATATATATTTTTGAGTCATTTCAAATATTTTCTATGATGCGGTTAATTTGTTACTTCATTTTAAAACGTGCTTGACTTGCATTCTTCTGCACTTACGTAACACAGTCGGCAAAGGTGTATCGTAAAGAAAAATCTCTGGGTATAATAAATAGAGAAGATAATATTTTTCTTGTTGCGTAAAATCCTGTAACATTTAATGCTTAACTTAATCAACTTACGTACATACACGCATATAAATAATGCTATTTTTATACTTTGAAAATAATTTGGCATATACGTATACAATGTTGTAAAAAAGAAGAACTACCTTGCCCAATTGTTTAATTATATATCGCCGAAAGATTAAATGATTAAAATATTTATTACGATTACGCAACTCTCTCGCGGTGGAGATTATTTTTAGTTCGCGTATATGTAGTCATGCCAAAAAACGGTATTATATCACAGAAGCATTTTCTGAACTTTACTACAATTTGGTAATTCAAGACGCTACAATCCAACACGTATACGAACTATAATTACACCTCGTACGAGTTATAATTATGCACCACAATATTAAGCCATAATGTTAATTACTGTGAGTAGGTATTAGTATAATGAATAGAATATGTGTAACATGTATATATGTGTAACATAGAACATGTATAATATGTGTTTAAAATTTCCTTGTTAATGTTTCAATATCTGATTTTTGCAGATATTATTTAATAAATTTCCATATTCATTGTATAAATTGATCGATGATTAACATAGGTTGTTGGTGAAGAAGAGTAAAAGACTTCAGTTAAATTAATTTTTATTTTTTTTATATAATGATTATTACATGAGTGGTAAGAGGTCAACAATGTTATATACAATATTACCTTATTATTTATATAAACCTTCACGATCGTAAATATAATTTCAATCTACCAAGAAAGTAACGTCCCTATAAAGCGGTCAGGCCAATGTTCTTTTTTGGGAAACTGAACACACTTTATATCATTCGCTTTTACAATCGATCGGTATCTAGCTTTTAATAGGGCAAAAATAGATCGGGCAATGGCACTGTAACTAAACTATTAGTGAATTAAAAAAATACGATTAATTTTAGTCGCGTTCGTATAAAAAGAATAAATAGAAAAGTATAACTACAACATTGTCCGTCTTTTTTGTTAGAAATTGTTCTTCTTCTTTGTTAGAAATAGACATCTAGGCCATCATATTTGGAAAACCGCTAAATACATCGATTTAATAATAAGAACCACAGTAAAAATTTCGCACTGAAGAATCATTTTCGTCTTAAAATTTATTAGGTCGTTCGAATCGATATGCTTCTATTGTCATTCTACTAGTAAAAAATAAAAAAAAGGGGGAAACAGAAAACAAAAAAAGAAAAGCACATAATATGTATAACGAAATGGGAAATGAAAAAATTATTAATCAATTCTTCAAGCTATTATATAACATATAATATAACAAATTATTTTTTATGTATGTACAGAAGATAATTACATGTTGAAAAAGGAAAAAACAGCTGCAATTTAAAATCGACTAAGACTTAACATTAAATAATTTCTTTAATTTACAATTAAAAGATTATATAATAATGTAGTTATTGATCAAAGAGCATGATAATTCGACTTATTTCAGCTTATCATTATCATAATTACTACATTTCTCATTAAAATTCTTAACATTAAAAAATGTCAAAAGAGCCGAATTAATTAATGGTTTACACTTTGAACACAAATAATTCCGAAATCGTTTAAATAAATAACGAGTATTTTTAATTAGAACGGATTTCAAACCACTAATTCTACAAGAAATATATTAAGGAAAGTTTATCAAGACGTAGGATATATCGACACAGGCATTTATAAAAATCGTTCTTTGCATATAAACGTTATTTATAATTTATGTAATGATACATTTGAGTCGTAGGGTGCAGTGCTTGAATTGATCGCAAAAAATAATGACGTAAACGTGTGTAATATCTGTAAATAGAGATTAATACCATTTTATTCAAGAAGATATGATATCGAGATTGGCAGCATGTTGAACATTTTACATGGTATTGTCTATATTTTTTCTAATACATTTTCTCCTAGCCTAGAATTTTGTTCTATGTACATATTTATTGCTACAATTCTCTGCTTAATTTGATTTTGGTTCCTTGTTTTTAAACGGTAACATGGTATACGTTTGCATTATTCTTGTCATTTATCAGAGCAGGTTTTTGAGATTGGTGCTTCAACAATAATATCGGAAAAATATATACAATTCTTAATATTTTTGTCGGTATAAAAATGTTCAAGACTTTTTTGTTGAACCTACACGCTACCCAATTTGTTATATTCTGTATTCTCGAAGTATTTAGCAAACGATACAAACAAATTACGAAAATAAAAGGGAAAAGAAAGGAAACTTTAATATTAATCAATGTTAAAGTTATATACAAAAAACAAAAAGAAAGACATTAAAATATTTTTTCAAGCAACATCCATATTAATATAATTGCAATAGGTGCCACATAATGTATCGGTATAGTGTAAGTTGTATTTAACAAATCACCGCATTGTGCTTTAACAGATGTATATTTTTTCAAGAGCTCTGCTTTTTCTTCAACAAATGCATTGTACTTTTCTTTTAAAATAACCAATTCTTCATGGAGCTCTTGAATTCTTTGAGCTTCGTTCTTGGCACGATAATACAGTTGTTTTAGCTTCTCAACAATTTCTTCGTGAGATTCACAAATTAACCATTCCTTTAGGCTTTCTAGCTCTTTCTTGATGGTTTGCTGCGATTCTAAATTGTCTTCAACTTTTAGCGAATCTAGAGATCCTATCAAAGTTTGCAGTAAATATTCTCTGATATGCACACATTGCTGTATGGTATCATTCTTAGATAATGGTTTTAGAGTTTTGACATAATCTCCTTCTAAATGTTCTTCTTCGTATTCTTCATCTAATTCACTGCTATCTTTATCTGTTTCATCTTTCTTTTCAAGTTGATTAATTTCCATAGAGACAGACTCATTTGAAGTGATGTTAATATTGCTCATGCTACCAACATTCATTTCTGTTTCTTCGTTTCCCTTTAATTTCTGTACAGTTTGAGGTAAATGAGAAATTTCCAGATGTTTAACATTTTCTTCGCACATAAATCTAACTTCCATTTTATAAGGTACAAAAATTTCTTCTGCTACTTTATACACAGGTTCTTCTTTTTTAACTTCTATAACAGATTTTTCACTTGTATCATCACTGGTAATACTGCACGTATCATCTGTTGCATCTGAATTAGCATCAGATTCTGAATTCATATCTGTATTATTTATATTTACATTTCCATTAACTAAAGTTTTTCGAGATGGTGGTGGTAAAATATATTCCGTTGAATTATCATTATTAACCAATGAATCATCTAATTGTTCTTTTGAAAAAGAATCATCAGAATTTTTTAGCTGATTTGAATCAATATCTTGTGAATTAATTTGATTATCTTGTTCATCTTTCACAGAATAAAAGTCCATTTTTGTCTCTAAATCAATGTCTACATTGTCAACATGAATGGAATTTAACTTATTAAGAATAATATTGATGGCTTCTATAGGATTTTCTTCATCCTTTGCATCTACTATGCCAGTTGTTATTAATTTTGAATTCATGTCCTGCAAAATTTGCATGTAATTTCTGAGGGCTGTGATCTGCTTATAGATATTCACAGAATCTAATCGAGAATCACGTAATCTAGCCTGCAAATTTTTTTCAATTCTAGATTGATCTTCGAGTCTCTTTAAAAATTCTTGCTTTTCTTGCTCTGTGCTTTGTACTATATCCTGTATTTTTTCTTCACTTTCTTTTAGTTTATTTGTAGTTTCTTGTAATTTTTTTTGTGCTTCTGTATATTTGCTACATAACTCCTGAAACTCTGTTTGAGTATATTTTGCTACATTATGAAGGCTTTGACATTCTTCTTCTGTTTCATTTAAACGTGCTTCTAATTGGACTAATCTCTGAGTTACCTCTAATTTTTCTTGTAATACTTTCTGTAATGCCTCTTTTGCTGAATTTTGGTAATGTACTTTTTCTTCCTGAAGCAATACCAATTCGTTTCTAATTTTATCTTCCGTATAATTTTTAGAATAAACAGCCAGTTGATTTTCCATACTCTCCACCCAAGATAATAACCGATCCTCTGTTATCAATGCTTTCCAAGATTGATTAGCAGCCTTTCGAGTATTTGCTACAAGTTGTTGAAGATGTACTAACTTAGAATAAAGTGCTTTCTCGCGTCTTGAGGCTTCTTGCATGACTTGATTCAGCTTGTACACATCTTCCAATGAAACATTATTGAGTGGAGATGCAACCGATGTACTAAGACTAGCTTTAGCTTCTTTTCCATCTGGCAAATATAATTTTAATGTTGCAACTATACATCCATGTCTAACTTTTTTTGTACTTTCTATCACATCTACTCCAAATTGCACTATGTCACCAGAACATACTTCTTTAGGTGCTGATTCTAAACTAGCTGCACTGAGTCTTTGATTATTAACAAATGTACCATTACTGCTACGTGTGTCTTGTAAAAAAAACTTTCCACCTGAATACCATAGCAGTGCGTGATTTCTAGATAGTACTTTACAATCAAAAATGGCATTGTTTGGTGTAGCTCTGGCTCTTGCCACAGAGCGACCAATTTTAACAGGTTGCTCCAGTGTCAATGTACGTTCTTCAAAAGGATGAGAATTATCACGGCAAATTAAAATTCCTTTGGCTGTCATTTTGTTGTTTTGCATAGAGTTTATTTTCAAGTTGGAATTCTGACTGGCAGGAAAACTGGCATTTTGTACCCACTCACCACTGGCTACAACCATAGCCGATGTAAAATCCAAAGAATGGCAAGTTTTTCAAGAAAAGTTTAAAACTCGTATGAAAAAGGAATTATTGATACATAATGAAGAAGAGGGAAATTGTGAAATTTCAAAGTCACGCGTTTTAATATCATCGAATATTTTTACTATCGTGTTGGTTTATCACGGAAGTTACTATTCACACTCGATCCTATAATTTGAACATGAGGATCATACATCAACTTTCCAAAACTTAAAATTTGTCATAATAATAAGTGACATACGAATTCACATGTTTTTGCAATAAAAAAATTTCCGTTACTATCTCAACAGTCTTGTGGTGTTTCTTTTTCTATTTATCATAAAATTCCTCGTACAAACGTTACAGTTACACCGTATTCGTCAATTACTCGAGTCCAGAATGTTCCTTGGTTGGTTAATTAAACAAACGAACGTTTCATCAACAATATAATGAAATCGAATATTTCGAACGCATTAAGAATAGCCAAAAGATATGTTTCTTCGAGTAAGTAGCAGTGAGCGTACGCTTTCACACTTTCGTCCTTCGTACCAGTTCCCTTGCACTTTGATGTCTTCGACGATACATTCAAGGAAGTTCATTAGAAAAGTGTGAAATACACAATGCGTATTCAACAATACTCGAACATGATAAACCGAGTGATGTTGTGATCAACTAGATTAAGATCAAATATATTATTCTCGAACTACTGCATTACTGTATTAAGATACAAGCGGTCCACATTCCTTTAACTCAGTACTTTTCAGTTCCGCGTTTCGCTGTTTATCGACCGACGGCAGTATAGTCATCTATACGACTACAACGGTGTAGCAAATTCAAAGTAGACACTTGGGCGTGCTACATCGCGACAGTCATTCACAAGAGAAAGAAACGTATTTAAAGAGAGACATTTAAAAAGGCATTTATAACCAAAGAACCAATGGCAGAATTAAAAACTATAAAATTGGTGTATATATTTCGAATCAGTGGTATAAAGCACTATTCATAAATAACTAAAATCATTAAATCTTCTTTCAAATAATTATGCTAATTTTTAAAAAATGTCTATTTTATGCTATTTATTCTATATTATTTATATTTAGCAAAACAAATTTATTAAGTCTATCGTAAAAGGTTAATACTCTATAATATAGAAGTATTAATTACTGTCACAACATAAAATAGAAGAATACAATATATAATATTCTGGTCTTGTATTTTTGTTTATCTGATTAAAGAATATATTTATATTTTTGTTTGCAAAATACAAAATGTGTAGTATAAAGGAAATATTTCCATATAAATATCGATGGACATCGCATGCATCAGTGAACTCAGATAGACTTGCACAAGAGAATAGGATAATAATATCGTTATAAAAAAATCTTTTAAAAATTAATTAAAAATACAAAATGAATATACGTATTCACGGCGTTTTTAATAATGCTAGTACTTGATAAAATACTAATATGATCAATAAAAAGGATAATTTATATTTAGAAGTATTGGTAGCTTATTTTTATAACGCAAATTTTATAATGTACATATCTAAAGTTTTATAATTTCAGAGTAATAGCTTATTAAATGTTGTACTTTCAAAACTGGAATAATTAATTCACAATGAGTTATTGGAATTCTTTTTTATGTATAAAAAATTTATTTCTGTTTATGAAATTCTAATTAGTACAAATTTTTATGATTGAATACCAGATATTAATTTACGTACGATTCACAAAAATCATGCAAATATAAAATTGTTGTTCATAAAACATTGTAAATAACTGAACAAGATAAATAAAACTATTATAGAGTTAATGAATACCTTTAAAAATATTCGATTTGAATATTCTTATATGAAAACATATGAAGATCGATGTTTGTCGAATAGCTTATTGTATCCGGATACACTGTGAATATAACCTAAATAAGGTTACGTAGTAAATTTCACGGTTTTAAACAAAGTTCATGGAATTTTTAACGTACAAATCATGTATAAATATTCTAATATTCAATATCAATTCATTTTTTGATTATATATAATTTTATATTTACTTCTTATAACTGAGATGTGAAATAAAAGAATATAAGTAACTTAATAACATATAAATATTTTACATGTATGTACATACTATACACATATATGCTATGTATATCTTTTTTTTCAGTGATTAATAAGTATTTTGTAATTTTATAAGACTTTGTGTTTCATGTATAAATAGCCAAGAAACAATAACATAATTTATATTTATAACAATAAAACGTCACAAAAAATAAACGAATAAATAAACATGTCAGATACAGAAGATTATATGTCAGATAAATTTTTACATGGAATTGAAAAATCTACTTCATCGAGTCTCATATATCGACATGCAGATAAAAGAAAATTTGAACTTATGAAGAAGAAAACTCAGATTGAAACAAAATTGGATGAAAAAAATAGCATAAAACATATTGAGGAAGAAAAAAGAGAAGCAGGCTTATCCTCTGCAATTACAAGTTCTAATAAAGGTTTGTTTTTTTTTTGTTTCTACTAACATTTGTGGTTTAATGGCATATTATATTATTGTAATGCTTGATTATACAAATTTATGAATTTATTCTTAGGTTATGAAATGATTATGAAAATGGGATATAAACCTGGTCAAGGCATAGGTAAAACAGGATCAGGAAGGATTGAGCCAATTAGCCTTAAAGTAAAATTAGACAGGCAAGGTTTAGGAGAAGGAATTGCAAAAAAAGAAAGGAAAAAGAAAGATAATTCGCATCACGATAAGTTAGATAATAAGTGTATGAAGGATTTTCGAGATAGAATCGCACAAAAAAGAACAGAACAATTATTAAAGACAGACTTGTATAAAAGCCAAAAAGTTTGTCAGAAATTAGATATGCAACAAGAGATAAAAAAGCCTCGAGAAATGTGGTTTTGGTTACCTCAAGATAATGAAGATGACGATAATAGTGATACAGAGGAAGATGATCATGTTTTACCTGTTAGTGGAAAACTTGAAATTTTAACTAAATATTTAAGAGAAAAATATTTTTATTGTATTTGGTGTGGAGTAGCACATCTAGATGAAGATGATTTAAGAGATAATTGTCCAGGAGATACAAGAAACGATCACTAATGCTATTTTAATTTGTATTACTTCAATTAAAAGTGCATATAAATAAAAAAAGGTAAAATCAAAATTTACCATGTTTTTACTTATACCTATGTTTTAATCATACAGTAAAGAAATCTTATAAAAAGCATACAAGATTCAGCATCTAAATAACATCAGTAATGCTTCTTTAGTGTGGTCACCCACAGTGTATGAAGACATAAAAGATCCATTAGAGTCATAATGCAAAATACTGAAAAAGTACAGTAGAAAAAAATCTAGCAGTGTACAATGTAAAAGCAAGGGAAACTTATCCTGATTCAGCTATGCTATTATTTCCTAGCAGGAGTTCAGCACCCCTAAGTAACAACATGTTGGAGGGAAAGTTACCTATAAAAGCATCTGTTTTATTTTCTGTTCTTTCATTTCAGTCAGAATCTTTGACCATACCTTTACTATATTCAAAACAGATTAAGTAAAACAAATATCACTTAAAGGAATTTCTATCACAATGTTTATATTTGCACTTTTCTTTGTATTAACAGCGTTTATATATATGAATGACACAGTTGCTCAAGTAACAGATGATGAAAATTGTGAAACACTACAGTCAGAAGTACATATTACAAAAGGTACTATTTTTATTTTGAATTAATTAGCTTCATATACAAGCAAGTATATGTAAAACGAAGATATTTTTTGATTATTTTAGATCAATATGATGAAATAGGTCGATTAAAACGAACATGTAGTGGAGATATAACTGTTACAAAATGTGAAGGGTTTTGCAGTTCACAAGTACAACCAAGTGTTGCAAGTACAACAGGATTCTCAAAGGTGAGGATACTGTTTAAAAGAAGAACAAAATTCGTATAAAAGTAATGAAATACACATTTTTGAAATTTATTTTTATTTCCCCAATAGGAATGTTATTGCTGTCGTGAGAGTTATTTAAAAGAAAGGCACATCACACTACACCATTGTTATGATGCAGATGGAATAAAATTAATGAATGAAGAAGATGGAGTAATGGAAATCAAGATAAGAGAACCAGCAGAATGTAAATGTATTAAATGCGGTGATATATCCCGATAAATATGAAAATATTTTATAAAAGCATTAATAAAATATAAAATAGAAATTATATGTAATACAAATAATGTGATTTAAAATAAAAACATAGAACATATTTAAGACAATTTACTTTCCCTTTCCTCTTATATTTGTAAACTGTATTAAAAAATATACAATTAAAAACTACAATGCCAGATTAACTAAATGTGTATTTTGAAATGTTATAAATTAAATACTAAAAAACAATGATAGATATTAGAATGCTCAATATAAGATTGTTGGTTTTTATATTATATATAATTTTGTTTCCATAACTAATGAGTAATAAAATTTAATTTATTTATGACTAGAAATTTTAACAAAAATAGAATTTTATTTATAAAAAAAAATTATATAAAATATTTAATATAATCATGAATGGAATTCCAGATAATTATCAATTAAATTTCACATAGATTATATTAATGCATATTATTACAACAAATAGATTAAAACATTATTAAAATAATAGATAAAATGAACTGGTTATTAGTATAACTAACATATAACAAATAATTAATTTTCCAATTTTATCATGAATAAAATAGTTAAAAGCTAAGCTAAATAATAACATTATAAATAATAACATTATAAAAAATACTAATAATACTATATTTTAGAATTTTTAACAGCTAGAAATATGTATATATGCTGTAAAATATACAAAATAATTCTTTGCCATTTAAATCAATGAAGCACCATAGTTTATATACAGTTTATTGTTTGAATATTATAATTTTCACTATGATAATGTACAACAAATTATTGTCAAAGTCTATTATACTGCAATGGAAAATAATATTATGTAATATTACTTGTATAAACAATTGATTTAAAAAGGAATTGTTTAAAATTAAAAGAAATTTTGTATGTAGATAAAATTATAAATATATAAATATAAATAAAATTTAACATGTAACTAGAACTTGTATTGATTATAATATTCTAAAAATTATTCATGATTTAGAGGTTTTAATTGCTATCAAGATTATAGTATTATAGAATATAATTTTTATATACATATATGTGTAGTTGATATATCATGCATATAATTATTACCATTACAAATGTCATTATATTTGTAAATATATAGTGATAACTTATAATAAAAGTATAACAATATAAAAAAAGTTGTAATGTATAAAAAATTATAGGAAATTAAACTTTGACTTTACTTATAACAAATTGCTTTCATAGAATATTATCATTGAAGATTATAAAAAATATTATTTATAAATCTAAAGTATGAAAGTGTTTGCTATATGTATGAAACAATATTTTCAAAAACATTTTTATTTCCTAATAGTACTTCTATATATCATATATTTAATCCCTTTCTTAGTGCTATTAACATACGCATGAAAAGGGAAGGGAGAAAACATGATCACCTACAGGGTATAAAAGGATAGAACGTACAATCTCTAAGCACAGTAAAGTGGTAGATCTAAGAGGAAAAATATCGTGCTAACACTATGTTACTATATCATATTGGTAAATAAAGAATTATAATACTTGTGTTGTACATTGACATTAAAATTAATATAAGCAAAAAAAAGAAATTAAATTTTATAACTGAAAGTATAAGCAAAATAAGAAACATAAAAGTATAATGTATGTCAATGTAACATTTATATTATTCTATTACTTACTGTGTAGTAGGTGCCAGCGTTTTAATATGCCTGCTAAGCGAAACTGCAGAAGCTCTTATAGGCGTTGATGAATGTCAAGCAACTCCAGTTATTCACTTTTTGCAATATCCAGGATGTGTTCCAAAACCAATTCCTAGTTATGCTTGTAGAGGACGTTGTAGCAGTTACCTACAGGTAATATATAAAGAAACAAGTAATTTTACTTACAAATATATCAATATAAACAAATAAAAATATTTCAAATATAGAAAAATACATTGTATTTTATTTTTATACAAATAAATTTATGAATCTTCCCTACATTAAGAATAAAAACAATCAATAGACAATTCTTTAAGAAATATTTGTTTAGTTTTATATTTTTTCATTAATTACTGATTAAAAATAAATAAAAACATATTACTTATATCAATTAGTTTTAAAAATCTTTCAAATTTTATCATATATAATCAGTTTATATTATTTTATATTAATATTAACATTAAAATAATCGAAGTTTATGTAAACATTTAAACTTAAAAATATTCTTTAAAATATTCTTTTAAACATTTATAATATTCTGATTTGTATAAGCGTGCATAATAAGATGTAGGTATCACTGTTTTTCATTCATAGTTATAATGTAAGTATTTTCTGTTACTTATATTATTTATAATTCCTATAAACATACAGTTAGGCATCAGTTTTATATTCATATTTACTGAATATCATAGTATTCTGCACAATGTTATCTCAACCATTTATTTCATGGAAAATTGACAAATTAATATATATAAACATCTATTCATTCGTACCTGTTTCTACAGGTATCTGGATCAAAAATTTGGCAAATGGAGAGGAGTTGCATGTGTTGTCAAGAAAGCGGTGAACGAGAGGCCAGTGTATCCTTATTTTGTCCGAGAGCCAAACCAGGCGAAAAGAAATTCCGAAAGGTTAGGTTAATGCTTTGACTTAATCATAGATTTTTTAACATTTTGGATAAATGTAATAAATTAATGAAGTGTTGGCCGATTAGTCACTCGCACTATAAAATCAGGAGCAAATCTTTTGATACCATGAGTTCCTCACAGCCATATTGTTTTTGTCTAACTGATCAGTGGAAAGCGCATCTGAAAATGAATATCGCGCGTCATTTGAATTGGATTATCCTATAAGAACTATTCATAAATACAAAATCATGTTTGTTTATATAATTTATAACTAACATCAATATAACAAATCAAATGGAAATATTTTTATTTAATAAAATTTAAGGATGTATATATATAAATAATTCAATTTACCACCTAATTATTCGTTCATAGGTAATTACCAAGGCGCCTTTAGAATGTATGTGTAGACCATGCACTAGTGTAGAAGAATATGCAATTATCCCACAAGAGATCGCTGGATTTGCCGATGAAGGCCCGTTTACGACCTCTGCGCATTTTAGAAGATCTTCCGACTTGCAGTAATTCTTTTATCAAACTTTATATTGTAAAATTAACAAAATAAAAGAAAATATTAAAGATAAGTTCTCTTTATTGGATGTAACGTTATAAAAACGTAAATAAATTGAGAATGTAAAGTATTTGATGTAAAAAATTCATTGATATATAATATAAATGCATTATATTAAAAATATGCTTATTCTCTGCTAAATATTTTTCATACATAGAAAACCTTCGATGATATTATATATTATTTATATATGTTATTTTAGCATTCTTACGTTAAAGGAAATGAAAGATAGTTTTAAGAAAATATCGTGAAAGATAACTAATATTTTGATGGATGTATATCAGAAGCCTTATTATTTTGTTATAAATAATTTCAGTTATATTACATACATATAAAATAACTACATTGTAATAAATATACAATATAGGATATTACGCGTTTAGTATTTTTCTAAAAATGCGTATTTACGTGATACATTACAGTATGATTATAATTATTGCATCTTAATGTTATACTGTAAATTATTACATCCTGTTAAGTATACAATATCTACAATTTTTTAAATTTCAAGTGCATCAGATATTAACGTTGAAACTTTAATAAGATTTATTCGAAATCGTGTACATATATATAATTCGTATAGTATTACACGTATCTCGTTCAGGATTATAGAAACAATATTATTTGAACAGTGTTACAAAAAAATATACAGGTTACTAATTTAATTAATCAGTTTCTTCGGCGGTGTGATCGATGTATCTAGACAGGCATATATTCAAGAAAATAATCAACAACAGTTTGACATGGAGTTCTTTTTTATTTTTTTTTCTTTTATGTATAGATATGATTTATCATAGAAGTGTATTGTGTATTTTTGTATTGTGTTTTGGAATTTTTAGTGATATTTTATTTATATTTTGTATGTGTGTATTAATGTAAACGTAGGCACACGCAAATATATGTAAAATAGCGATATACGTGCGTGTTCATACGTGAAACATCGGCACAATGCGTCGCATGCATGTGCAATATTTCAGTCAGCATAATAACAATGCTATCTTCTTCCATTATTTTTGCAAACTGATCATACTTCACTTACAATATTTACTTATTAAATATTTACAGGGATCATTTTTTTTTTGTAATTCACTTATCGACATTTCCTCAACAACGTTTTTTAATATATAAATTATTGTAATTTTATTTATTTACTGCGTCTTCTATTTGATGTTTCAACCCGTCGAATGATACATTCTACTACTGAAGTAGAATGAAATCTTTCAAGGAGACAAATGTTATAAATCATTAATACTTAGCTCATACACAAAATTTTCCATTCTTCTGTATTTCATGTATGTCTCATCTTTACAGTGTGAAAAAAGTAATAGTGATGTATGTGACCTTCCCTACAATCTCATCCTTATCTCCTTCGATTCTGTCGTGTTCAAAAAAATGCTGCGTTTTATACTTAAAAATTTTCTATTATATAATTCACAAAAAACATAAAAGTTTTTCAACATTCTGTAATTAATTTTAGATTATTAAACAGAAATAAAGAATTTGGAATACAAGTAAATTATATAGTGTAATTATAAGATGCGATGAAAGAAATAAACATATAACAAACTCACGATGGTGAAGGGTATATATCGTATGAAAATTTAAGAACACCTATGGACATTCTGTGAAGCAAGAACTAATTTTTTTATATTGAATATTTACATACACATGTACATGTATAAACATATGTTTACGCATACATATGTATTTAATGCAAGTTGGATAAAATATCTACGTGGTAACCTTTTATCCCTTCAACAACGCAGAGAAGCTTTGAAAAAATGATAAATGACAAATTCTGCTAGTATCTAATAATCAAATAACAAATTTGAACATTTCGGTATTAATTAATAATTACAATTTCTTAAATAAGGAGAATACATTCAATACGAAAAACATTAGACAAAAACAATATAGTATTTCCTAAAATTAAATGAAAATTTTTCATGATTGCATTCAAATTTCCTATTTCATTTTGTGTATTATATATAAACATACACATACGCACACACTATATATATAAAGTCATATATATAATTGTGTGCGTGTGCGTGCACGTATGTGTGTAATATACTCAGAAAATGTATTTTTCACACTGTACTTTAAATTAGTGTAATAATTTTATACAATTTCCTATTACACGGTCGATCTGGATTCATGCAGACATTATATTCCACGCACTATGACCTGTTCTCTCAATGTTCATAAATAACTAGTGTTAAAAAATAGTAGCGCCTTAATATGCACACCATTTGTATCCTTTTCCTAGTTTCAGCATATTTTGCATTACGAAACATATCGCGCCGAATCACAACATGGTTCGTAATGTTATGTTTTAGCGTTCACTTTCATTCACTTTTAGTTGTGAATGTATATTTTTCTTCACATGGTTGAATACATTATAAGTTCGCAAGATATAAATTAGTAATTGTTATATTTGTTATAATCGTAGAAAGAACCATTACCCTTGCGTCAGGCTTGGTTATCAATAGTTTTCTTTTGCATATGTCTCAAATATAATTTACTTAAAATTGATCTACTTATACACATCTGATTTTTAATTTTTTATCTACTTTGCACATAGCAAGTACCGGCTGTTTTGCGAATATCTTTTGATGAAATTGAATATAGCTTTTTCGAGTTTCCAATATAAAGCGAAAAAGAAAAATTGTACGTAATATTCAATTTATTTGGCGATTGACAAGCTGCAGTGACATCGCAACACATAAGAAATACGATAATGTCCTTGAGTGTTTTTTTTTTGCTTTATTTAAACTTTAAACCATTTCAATGAATTATATATAATAATTATCTTGTATTTACTTCTGTATCATAATTAATAATTAATCTTTATCTTCATTATGTATAGCGGTCTCAGCTATTGTGTCCGTTTTTGTGATAACCTTTATTATCTGTCACTTCTTGTTCTTTGAAGTTCTATACTATAATACATGCACACGCGCACATCACTTTTTGTATTCTTTCAATACATATGATGTTTTCCTTTAAAAAACTGCAATTTGATTTCACTTCGCGTAGTTTTTTTTAACGAGGAAACATATATTTAAGTCTTTTTAATAGACGATAATGTACTCGATCACGGTATCGTCAACAACGTTCTTGGCTGACGCTAGTTGATACGTCTTCTACACTGGAAGCATCATCAGCTTCTTGTAAACCAGTGAAAAACGAAGTCAGCGCCATCGTCGCGACTCCATGCCATTCACGCTGGGCTGGTTCAGGACTCTTTTTCCACGTTAGGAACGCGTCGCTTGAAATTATGTTATAATCCGACAAATTCGTCATAATGTTGAACAGAGTTCCTGTAGGTAAAAATTTTTTATAATTATAACTAACTTTCTATTACAGAGAACAACATTTTATTCTTGTATGTTACCGTGCGGATATTGTAGATTGTGTAAATGAAGCTGGATTGCATAAAGACATTGCAATTCTAAAGATTCATTTGCATCGACGAATCGGCGAATTAATTGTTGTAAATTAATAAAAGCCTCACTGTTTAGACACCACCTGCTATTCACTGGTTCTAATAATAATAATAAAAAAAAGCACACAAACAATTATAGTCACTAAAAAATGTTAAAGAAGAAATATGATAAAATAGCAAAACGTACCCATGGACGTCTCTAAAATGGCAGTAGTTAAGATGCGTATGAAACTTGGTTCTTTGACCCGATTACCTACATGTACCTGTAATGACCAATGAATGAAGTATAACTGTTTAATATTTTGTAAAATAATATACAATTAAATTTAAAATACTTACAATTATCCACCCACAAATTTCATCGAAGCTACTTTCTTTCATTAGTCTCCTAAGTTCATCATGAATTTGCTGCATTGTGGGTTGATTACTAGTTGAGCTTTTGGCACTATTATAATCACCAGTGCAGAACTCCAGGTTCTATGAACAATAACATTATTCTTAGTCCCCGTTATTTAAAAATAACATATATTAATAATTTTAGTGCCAACTTACATAATCTTTAATGATTTTGTCAACTTCTTCAAGTTCTGTATCAATTACATTACTCAACTTAAGTCCACTTTGGTCCCATTTATCTGCAATCCATTTATGTCCTTTATCTCGGGATATTTTCGATAATAATTCCCCAAGGAATTTGCCTACATATCCCCGAGTTCTTAAACTATCAAATATAGGTTTCAACTCGGTTAGGGGGACTATCTCCTCTTCTATTGGATGTGCTGTAAAAAGAAAGAAATATCATAATACTAATTTTCTTTTGGAATAAATAGTATTTTTTGTCATTGTTTTCAGTCCTGTTGAGCTAAAATTCCCGCATGGAAACTCTACGGTAAAGAATAATCATCATAAATGAGTTATCTTTAAACATAAAAAGTTTTAATGTTATTTACTTACATAATATCTCTGCTAGATATAACCAAACTTTGGGTATATCGAGTACAAGATCATCAACTAATTCCAATATTTCAATGAATCTAAAAAAGGTAATTGTGATTAGTTTTACCGAAAAAAAAAAAATTTAGAATTTTTATACTGAAATTTTTAATCAGTATCCTTTTGGCTTTGTATTTATTATTCAACACCTTTTTCTCTGCATAAATATTTCGTCATTTATAAAAAAGATTTAATTAAAAAGCGATCTTAATTAGTGCATCAAATAACATTATAGACATACATATGTACAAAATAACTTACCCGTTTCTTAGATGTGATATAGGTAAAATTTTTTGAGTAATTAAATGCGACAAAAGATACGATATGCATTCTCTGTCGAGAGGTGACTTTTCAAGAACAAAGTTGATCAATTCACGTACGAATTTTGTTAATGTGTTATCGAAGTTCTGTTGAATTGCCAACGAAACTTTCTATAAAATAAAAAATTCCAATTATAATAGATATTTAAATAAATTGCATTTTTTAGAATGGATTTTTTAAATAAAACAGTGTGTCCACCTACTGATCACTTAAACAATTATTTATATAAATGTAGCATTATAGCTAATTTATAACACTGTTTAAGAAGATCAGAAGGAAGGTATTACATAATTTAGCACACTAATGACTCAAGCATCTCCTAGCAAAAAGCAGAGATGGATCTAAGGAGCGTGCTAATGTTAATAATCACAATATTATCAACTAAGGAAATCAATTAATACTGTGATATAATAATTTATATACACATAGAACATGAATATAGCAAAAACTCACTTCAATGATAGGATTTTTGAGATAGTCTTTCATTATTTTGTTTAACGTTTTCATAAATTCTTCTTCTGACATCTGAGGTTTATGACTGCTAGAGGTAGATTGTGTGGACGATTTTAACGATGGCGGTGGCATAGAAACGCTTTGACCTTGTGAGTTATCTAATAAAGAATTGTCTCTACTCGACGACGAACTGCTTAATTGATGACTACCATTGCGTGAACTCCTACCATCTGTAATAATGAAAATATAAAATTTTCTTACATTTAAATAATATGAATAAAGTAAATGTGATATGTATTTTTTAAAATATCAGAATCCTTTTGGCTAACAACATTAAGTTCAACTTTTCAAAAATAAAAAATTTGTCATCATGCTTTTCATAATTTTTTGCTTAAAAAATCAACAAATTATTTAATTCTTTTATTATCTAACGTATCATAGACATACCATAGGAAGGTTTGTAGTCACGACCATACTCTCTTGGTCCAGTAGACCTTGATCTAAAAATAAATGAGATTATAATATTAATTATTCGGATTATTCTGTACATCCTATATGCGATTATTAAAAAAATACTCAGGATATTTTTAAAGTCATACTTCATATCAGAAACTCTAGCCTAGCAATCTATATTTCATCACACCTACTTTATTAAATATTGAGCAATAAGAAATATAATAATCATAAAAAAAATTACTCTCTTACCCAGAGAGTTGTGGAGACGTTTTTCGTTTATCTTGATCTAAGTTCGATACATTTTCTAAGCATGCAAATTTATTTGAATTTATTGCCTTTGAGCCACAACTCGAAGGCGTTTTCCACATATACATATTTCTGCTTCCTAATTGTAAATCATCCATTGGAGGCTGAAATAAAAATGATGAATATTTATTTGTTATTATTCATTTTCGCTGTACCTGTGACTATAAACCTTTCGTAACTATTATTGAAGTTTTAGTAATATAAATGCTTACAGGTTTATTTTTAAGCTTAGCTGTCTCAACAGAATATGGTTGCCTTGTTCTGACAACAGGTTGACTCCAACCACCATCATCAGTGGGACCAACACCACCTACATTATAATGCATTATTGATTGAATAACATACTATGTATATTTATTTATAAGCGATATAATAATGTGAACAATGAAATAAAAGTTGTCAGAATACACAATACAATCATTCTTATCAGAAACTCTAGTCTGGCAAAAAATGTGTAATATCATCACGCTGCTGTATTATGAAAGCGAGTTCTCCACTTATAAAATATCAATTTATTTATAATTTATATTTATATCTTTGTTATTAATTCAGATATTACACTGACTAAATACTTACGATTCCTTTTTCTATCACTAGTACGTTCATCTTTTCGAGGTGTACTCAAAGGAGTATTACTCAATTGGCTATCTAATCTCTCAGAATCAGCTTCCTTTTGAATTTGATCTATTGTTTTAGGATTACTATCATCTCTCCTTGGAATCCAGCTATTTGCTCTTAAATCTATTACATCTTGCAGCATAAAACGAATTCTAGAGCTAATTTTTCCATGCCCCCGTCGTGCAACGATATCTTGCATTTTATTGAAATAATCTTGCATTTCCTAATAAAAAGGGAATAAATTATTATCTTTGCAGTATCGAACTGAATGCTTTTTATTAATTATAATAAAAAGCAAAGTTACTTCTGCAGACACTTTTGACTCTAAATCTTTTCCGACTGTTGTTAACAACTTGCATAAACATTCAAGACTATCTTCATCACTCTGAATTAACAACTCCTTTGTGCAACGATGCATGATTTTAGTTGTTAACATTCCTTGTTTATACAATTCGCCAATAAATCTGCAGAACAAAAAGTAAGAAATGTAGCATAAGAAATACAAAATATGTTAACAAAAATTATAATGTACATTACATTATGTATATCTATACATTGAGAGGTAATGTAATGCTTTTACAAGATAACTACATATTTTACGTTACATTTATGTTACTTTACCGTATATTTCCTACTGATTTTATACGTGTTTTTCGTTCTTCATCTTCAAATTGCAATTGTAAATCTTTTTTCTTCTCCTAATTTTAAATATAAAACAATTTGATGATAATGAAAATATAAAAATATATAATACAATACAATACAGAAATATTTATTGATTAGACTTACAGGATCAGTACATTCTTCTATTTCTTTAAGCTTAGCAGCTCTTGCCACCTCGTTTACTGGATTTCTTTCGAATTCCTTTTGGCAACGATTAATAATGAGTTTCTTGAAGGTATACGAGCATTCTTGTTTGTCCGAATTTTTATCTGAACCTGAGACTTCCATTACAGCAAGTTCTTTGCACATTAATGCATATGCTACAGAAAAGCTTGGTTCATCCACAGCCTAAAATTTAATAAATTAAATTATACATAACTAAGAATTATATAATTATTGCAGACATACAATAAATAGATTTACCTTCTCGAAGACTAAATTGATGACGCCCTGCAGTCGTTCCGGAGTGTCGATGGTTAATGTACGAACCTGATCGACTAAGGTATTGAATTTCTGTGGTGTGAGTTTATTTAGTACACTTCTAACTCTCTTGTAAAGAGCTTCCGATTTAGCTTCTTCTTCACTAAGATTCAAGCTTTTCAATCTTGTTGGTCTCCATGCATTTTCAGTTTCCCTTAATTTTACGTCTTCCCTCAAGGATAAAGATACATGAATTACATTTGGCTTTGTTGGCTTGGACGACTTCCCTGGATTGCTTTTCCGATTCGGTGGTAGCTAAATAGAGATAAATACATTATATCAACATGTTAACATTCATGATGATCTAATGTACAATAAAATGCAAATATCAGAAAAAATATTCTCTATCAAGGAATTTCAGTCCACTACTTTTCATTTATAATACATCACTTACTAATCATTCCAACTCCACCTATTTCAACTTTCCAACTTACCGCTCGGTTATTTGCGTTTAACGGTTTTATGAATCCAGGGAATAAAACATCATGTCTATTGATATTTGTATCTTTAAATAACCTAAGTTCAACATTATTCCTTGCCTATAAGAATTATTGTTTTATATATCTTATGTATTTACAATAATAATATGAAATAGGAATAATCATTTTTATACAATACCTTTGAACTATCTTTCAAAACAACGTCTAAATCTGGTAAATTAGACGGTTTGATTTTGCTATTGGGATCATCCTGTAGTTTTATTAAAAACTCACGATCATAAATCTTTTTACCGCTTTTATTTATAGGGCTCCACTGGTCCTCCTTATATTTATATTTCAATTGTATTTGATTTGTAACCGATGTGATTTCAGTTTGAACCGGAGCTTCGCTTTCGGTTGTTTTTTCAATAACCGGAGATGTTTGCGGCTTATCTTCGTTAACCGTTCGAAACGACGATACTTTTGAATTTTCTTCATTCTTTTGTGCTACTATTGCTTGTACATCGGACTCTTCTTTCACTTTCACATGATCAACAACATCATTAGGAACTGATTTTGATTGCATATTACATGCGTTCGATGTTTTGTTATCGTCGGTCTTAGAGGAAGATTCCTTTATAGTTTCTTTGTTGCTTGGCAGTTTTTCTATAGCAGGTGTTTCTATGAGAAAACTTTGTTTTAGGCTATCTGGTGACACGGGTGTTTGTTTCTCCGCCCTTTCCTTTATATGATCGGAACTAGTTTCCTTCTCTTTTTTTGGTTCGTAATTATCTTTATCCTTGTTATCTTTTATAATTTCACGATTTCCTTCCTTATTACTGTCCTTCGGTGTTAAAGGATCTTTGTTGTCTTGTTTTATTTCAGGTTTTGCCGGAGGTACCGTGTTTACGAAAGCATCCATATCTGTACCTTCTTTCTCCGCTCCTTTCCGATTAAGTTCACGGGGTTTGAGCCTGTTTTTACTCTTCTGCTTCTGCATAGCTTTACCTGACAAACAGAAAAACCATATTACATATAATAATTAGATTACTAAAACTTATCTAAAACTTTATATAATACTAGATTTTAACGAAAGTTATTCGCACAATGCGTGAATCGTAAATAGTCATCAAAAGTATTATTACATTGATATCAGTACCGAGAGATGCAGCTGTAAAGAAAAGTGAGTATTTCGGCTACAAGCCAAGGATAATTATAGTCTCGGATCACAGTACATTTCGTAGTGTGACATTTCACTTTTTTATTAATGTATACAGAAATTTATGAATGTTAGAGGAGAAAAAATTAATGATTTGCATTAGCACATCATCTTATCATACCTTCACAAAGAAGTAAGAAAGAGAAAGATGGTTCGTTATTCTCGAAATAATATTGTTAAAAATAAGTGTATTTACTCGTACAAGAACTAAATATATTCGATGATACTACATCCTTTAAGTAAATAATTTAAAAGCAAAGATTTTAATGCAACAAAATCAGTAAATTGCATTATACATGTAATATATTGGAACTTTTCGAAAATCTACCAATTCTAAAATCAACTAAAATTTGTAAGTTTTTGAGTGATTACAGAAATAAAAAAATAAAAACTGATTCACCCAATTTTTTGAAAATTTCTTAATTTCGAGACTAAAATACACGATTAGTGTTTAATGTTTCGAGAAATTGATTGGTTTGACTTCTATATGGCTCATATATGGAGCATTTCCGTAACATTCGAAATAGAAGTACGAAAATGAGGGTGAAAGTAGCGAACTAGTCTCTTTTAACATGTGTTATCACACACTCACTTCACGTTTTATATTAATATATAATTAAATATGTACCATGGTCTCTGGAGCCCCGACGATTACTTCTTGATCGGGAGCTGGTGCTGACACGAGCGTTACCATTAACTTTGCGGTCACTCATTTTCACGATTATCAATAATCAAAGATATACTGTTATTTACGCATGTTTAAGCCATAATGTGTGCCTGTCCATGCCATATTACAAGCATATTACATATTATTGCAAATCACATTCTTGCAACATAAAACTCTTTGTGCGGCTCGAGTTTCAACAGCTTGTATGCTACTGCTGCACTGAATCAGTATTTATTTATAAATCTGCCAAAAGCTTGCCAAAACTGGGGTAGATGGATCCATGATCACACGCGTAACAACGAGCAACCGTGCACAACGCATTTTAAATTCCTTTTTTACTCTTTTCACAGCGGGAGATAGAGCACAGAAGAAAGTCAAGATTACAGTACAATAGTAACGGAATTCTCTGAATAACAGCAAATAAAAAATACAGGTACAATTGAATTCTCAATGAAAAGATCGACGTATACAGATTTTTCGGTCCGGTTTATTCAAAAAACTGTAGTAACACTTCGAAAATTCCCTTGGAAGCTCTTCTTACACGACTTTCACGCATCTATTTTAACCTGAGAACTGGTGCAAACCGACAGGCACGACATAGGATTTCTTAAATTAGTTCTGTTCGCCGGTTGCGCGCCGGAGCAAGCGCATTAGTGACTTTCCTAATACCTAACCTGACATACGAACTGCTTTAGCCGAAATGTATCGAAAGTAGAATTTCTACGTCTTTCATTGGAAGATGCGTTAATAGTCTCAACGGTAAAACTTATATTATGATCAATTTCATATTTGCTATTATCCATAATTTTTCATTTCTTTGACTAACCGTAAATACAAAAACTCTAATGGAGCTGAATGATTGTTGGAGTGAGTGTTATATTATAAAAAGTTACACGTTGATCATCGTAAACGAATAAATATAAATTTAGGCAGAAAACTATGCACGAATTATGTTATTAATATTCCGATAAAGCTTTTAAAATAACTGTTTGACAGAAGAAATTAAATTAGTTGACTATGCAGTAAAATGATAATCTTTCGACAGAAATTTTAATGAATAATTCTTAATACAGGAATATTTCGTAACTTGACAAACTTATTCAATACAACTCAACACCTTTCTATTTTCCAGCTTTATAATACTAAATAGACAATTCCGTTTAGAAATAAAATTTTTCTATGCATGTATACATAGAGAATTGTGTGCATATGCACAACAAAGAAAAACAAAATCAAATAAGATACCTGAGTAATAAAAGAAAGCAAAATAAAGACAATATTTTATTATTTTGGAATAATCATTTAAAATTATTCCTATGTACAATTCTTTAGCAACAACTTTGAAAAAAAGTATTTTACTATAAGATAGCAGTTAATTTGATGCATGAAAGTAGCTTGAGTAAGATTTTATAAAAGCAGGTCGAGGTAACAATATCTAAAAAGAACGCTGAATGATCGTTAAAGGTATACACGAAATTTGTTTCATTTTATTATTCATCAAATTTACCGAATCGGATATTTGAACAATGTACATACCTTATATTAGTTCAGAAACATAACAAAATTATAGGTAATACCGAATATGAAATTGACCATAACATATGCATCTGGGCAGAAATTGGAAATGTTAATTGGAATTAAAAATTCGAGACGATACTTCAAAGACGACACTTTCACGATTTCATTTGTATAATTTTTAAGAATTAGAATTATAATAAAAAATTATGCAATTTATATTTAACATTGAAAATATGCAATTTATTACTACTATAGCAGGTAAATAGTAACTTTTATATTGATAGAATTAAGAAAATTTTCCAATTTATTGTATATCGTCATTGAATTTGTTCACAAAATTAGCATAGCATCATGTATTAATTTATTGAATTTTATCGTATGGGAAATATATACAATTCATACGACCATTTTTTCTAACCAGTGGGAACCTTTCACCGGATTGGTGAACGCTCAAGGTTGCCACTGACGCCGAAAGTCTTAAGATATTTTTTGCACACGCACGACGCGTGCTCTTGTGAAACGGCATTAAGAGACCTTCAAACCATGCATGTAGCTCGCCATACATGCGTGGCCGTGACCTCATGCGACTTAATGACCGAACAGTAATACAATTTTCACTATCATATATCCAAAAATGGTGCTACTTCACTTCGACACATGAAACAAACAATTTTTATGAAGTGAAATGAGTAATAAAAGTATCAATGAAAGAGAAATAATCTTGTACTGAGTTAGTATTTTATGTTTAATTCCACGCTATAATATTAATCTAGATATCTAGTAAAAAATAGTCATCCATAAATAAAGTAGTGGTGACACACCCAATAATTTCTCCGTAGTTATGTCTATTTCTAAATGACCAAATGTGTATTTTTCTTCCTCTGCTACTGTCTCTAACCAATACTAGACATTTTTCAATTTTTCTTACGAAATAGTATCAATGAACAAATATATTTAAAAATTAATCAAAATTTTTCTGCTCATGCGGTATGAGAAATACTTAACAGGTTACCTTAGAATGATTTACTTTATGTTATTCTTATTAAACATAATGAAATTATTCACGTGCGGTAAAAAAAATATCTGAATAACAGAAAGAAAATGAACAAATTCAAAAATTCAATGATTTCAGTTATCATACATAGAAACTGATGATCAAATATGGAGTAGTTCTCTTTTGTAACGGCTCACAAAATGGCTACGCAAGCAGTTACGTAGAAACATAAAACTACTGTTAATAATACTGTGTAGAAAATACTTGTATTCTGTAAAATAAGCATTATATATTAACCAATTTTTAATATATGCAAGCCTATAAATTTAAGTAACGGATAAAAAGTAAAATGCTTGAATATTAAATCATTTCAGAAACACGTGTTTAAAGCGTAATGGACGAAATTTAACTATAGATTCCAAATTACAGGGATTTTCATAAACTAAATACTTCAATTCCCTCTTGTAATAAATATCCTTTTTAACTTTTAATCTTACTAAATAATAATGATTTTAAACCTCTTAAAATATGATATTCACTATGTGTCTCGTGAGGTCAAAAGCAGCCATATTTGAACACAACTGATGCTTCGAAATATATTTTCCACGATTTAAGATTTACTTTCTTTTTAAACAATAAATATATAACTTGGGAGAAAACTACGAAAAACGTTAAACCAATTACAAATATGTAAGTACAAAAAAGTATTAGATGTTATAATGGAGCTCACATTTGAGAAAGTTTGTGAATACAAGATGTCGGAACCACGTTGCGAAAAGCAGGTATTATATTGCAACTATATCTATTAACTTGATAAATTGTTCTAAGGCCAAACCAAAATAATTTATACATACATTTTGTATCAAGATATTCCTCTGCCGTGGTCGTTGCATCCGCTTGATCACTTTGTCACAGTAACAATAATATAAAATAAAAAAGTAAAAAAAGAATGCAATAAGACCTGTATCCTTTAAAGCCAGTACACATAAGGACTTTCAGATAGAAACGCGTAAATTTTTATAAGGAAAAGAAAAACGATGCGTGTAAAGGGCGCTCGTTACAATTAAATAAAGGATTACGTGTATAAATTCTACAGAATATCGCAAGATAAAAAAGAAACCTTATATAGGAACGGAATATAGTAAAGACGCAAATACATTAAGCGTATTCGTTACGTTATGAAGTATGCAAGCTCAAAGATGAGTAACCTTTTAAGTAGTATGAATGTAAATATAGAATTATGTATAACTACGAATATACAATTGTTGATTAAAAAATAATAATTATAAAAGGAAAAGGGAAATGGGAAAAACGGAGTAAAAAATACAGCTGGCTAGCACAGCACGTGCTGGCTACTGGAGGAACCTCCGTTGTTCGACGAGGAAACAAGTCGGGAACCTCCCTCCAGCAACACAATCGCCGATGTTCGTGTACCTTCGGTACATTTCGCGCCTTTTCGTCGTATGATGTCACAGTTTGGTTCGAAGCTCCCTTGGGAGTTTTATATATACCTTGCATTTCAATCATTGAAAAAAGATCCGTTCACATTAGAAACACGCATTCCAATAAATTACATGATGTATGCTACACTTTGTTCATAATATTCTCAAATTTTTAAAAATTACTAGAAATAATCAAATTTGTAACTTGTATAATGCAATTTTGTTGAAATGATTGAATTTAATTTAATGCGATTAAGAATAAAAATTTGAATCTCATGGACAATGTATTTGTCGTCACTATAGTCCTTTCATTCCATGTATTTAAAACGTATTTTTCCCCAAGAAATAAGAATTCACGTAATAAAATTATGGTTTGACAAATACACGAAAAACTATTTTGCTCGATTTTCCTCCGTACAAGTAATGAAAATTTAACCTTCTTCTTGTCCCCATTTTTAAAAAATATCTATAATGGAACTAATTTGACATCTCTGTACTTTTATTCCACTTTGCAATATAAATTAATGTTTTATAATAGACCTACTTTAAGAAATAATAGTTTCCATTTAGATCATTATTACGAACTAAATATTTTTGTTTTAAGAAATTTTTGTCTTACAGTATTATTCGATCGTTTCAATTATAAATTTGAGATGTATGCTTCACTTGCTTGAATGTTCGAATATCTTTCAACTTCAATAATGTTATTACTTAAATGTGCCATATTAAATTTCATGAAAAAGTATCACCTTGCATAATCTATTTTGAGAAACATTTAGTGTATCGTTTAATGCAAACTTCTTTGTATACGTGCAAAAATAAACTATGTATATTGAATGTATATTGAATGCTTTAATGTACATTGAAATGAATACGAAATTAATGTATTATTTAAAATAAAATTTGCGTCACAATTGCGAAGTTTAAGTTGAATGCAAGCAGAAGCAATTATAAAACTTTTAGGTTAGAATCAAAGTAAATCGTATTGTAATATCCAACAACCCTTCTCTTTAACGATATTTTTAAATAACATAACCACACGACATTTCATTCATAGGTGCTTTACATTTTGTAAAGAAGAATGAAAAGTTTCAAAATATTTAAACCTATTTCCACGTATGTAACTGAAGAGATACGTTTCCTTTACACATGAGATACATACATTTTAAGTATGTCTATTTAACATTAACATTAACCGAATTACTAGTTCATAACAATTAACATGTAAACTTATGGACAATGATGATTATTGAAGCTATCACAGAAGCAAAGTTCAAATTATAGTGATACGACAAAAACGGAGGGAAACTATGTAGATATATCAAAAATCTTAATCTATAACTCTAATTTGTATATGTATATGAAAATATTGTATTTTCTCGAAAAATCATTATTGCAATATATGAGTGTAGGATACATTTAGAAAATGATTAATGATCATGAGTATAACTATCAATAATATTGTAAATCAAATAAGAAATGTCTATACAAAAACATAAATCAATTATTTGTAAGAAAAATGTAAAAAACTAAGCAATAATGTATATGTTCATATACTAAGAATATTTTGAATAAAAAAGAAAAAAATAAAGAAATATTTTCCATAAAATGTTAGATAACATACCTCACATAAATTAAAAAATAGCAATATAAAATCATAAAAAATTTACATTTTTTAAACATTTTCTCTTACATAGATAAAACATGTTATCTGCATTTTAAATGCCTTTTTTATATAATATTGCTCAAATATCAACCAAAAAATTTAAATATAATAATAAATACAATATAATATCCCTTACTTGATCATCATTATTGCAATATCATATATTACTCTAACTACATTATCATGAATTATGTATTACGATAGCAAACAGAAAAATAGCTGATAAAACAAATGAAAACTTAGAAGTTTGCAAAAACTTACCATCAGATGATTTTTGTTGTTGAATTTCAGTTCGAACAGGATCGGATTCCGGTTTATCACCAGACGCATCTCCATTGGTTTTCAAGTGATGATCTGTTTGATTATGAGCAGGTGTAGGAGTAGTACCTCTAGAACTAAGACTCTTTTCCCTTGTCTTTTTATCTTTTTGTTCTTTGGCACTTGAAGGAAACTCAGTTGCAGCAGCAGAAATAGTAGCAGTAGCAGTGGATTGATTGTGGGTGTGAGTCTGAGATTTTCTTCTAGGCGGTGAACTCGATGAATTTTTATTGGATAAATTTGGGAACGGTTCTCTGGCAGGAACAGGATTAGCACTTGGGGCAGTGGTGGACGGTTTAGGGACCTCCGGAACGTTCGTACTTGGTATAGTCACAATGGGAACTGATGTCTGTGTTACGATAGATGTGGCACTCGTACTCTTCACTTCAACTTCAGTTACAATCATTGCGGGTAACTGCGCAGAAATATCATCCTTGTTTACGTTACGCGATATAGCTAATGGTAGTTCCTCGATGACTCCACTTTTCGAATCGCTTCGAGGTTGAAATTCCTTCACAGGAATTTGTAATGGTTTCGACTCTGTTTTCATTGCACACGAGTCTATTTGAGACACGTTACTAGTGGTACCTAACGATTGACTACATAACGCGGTTACGTTAGGTACATTTTGTGTTGTAGGTGAACTGGTACTACACTGATTATTCACATCATTAGTAGAATTTGTTTGAGAATTAGATAAACTTTGTGTTACATTTTGAGATGTAGATGTGTTTGGTACACAAGTCGGTACCGTTGAGTCGGAATTGGACTCTTCGGTCGCGACTTTCACAAGTGTTTTTGCAACCCGGGCTGCAAAGTCGGCTTGCACTTCGACGTCATTATTCTGTAACAATCACCAATTCTGCGTGATAGACAATGATACATAGCAATCGGATAAAGATTATGTTTGACAACTAAAAACTGGCTCCAAACTTAAATCATAGGACGAGAAATAAAACCAAATGTACTAAACGAAATAAAAGAAACATTCAATATATTTTATACCTCTGTAACCCCTCAGCCATGGTTTGCAAACTATAAGCAGAATTACAAAAAACTGTATGTAAATAACGTATCTACATAATAATATACCTTATCCAGATAAAAATTAATTCTATTCTTATAAGAGTTAACTGCAATTAAGCTAAGTGGCTTAATCAATTGATTCAAATTTTGTATATCGACGTAAATTTAGTACTACTAAAATTCTATCATAAATGCAAAATCTAGTAGTAGGAGTAACATAGAAAGAGTAATAAAAATTTGCATACAATATTCTAATCGTCCGAAATAAAAATATCTTAAAAATACTTCAATGATCATGGCTTTTGGGTACAGATATTAATAATGTAAGCAACTGACTATAAGAGTATAATAAAACATCACATTCATTCTAAAAGTTATTATAATATTGGTATAAATATAAAAATTAGAATACCAGAATTTGCGTTTTATTTATATTTAATTTGATTTTTCTTCTTTTAAATACAAAGCTCTTATAGTCAATTGTTAGTGTATTAATATAATAATATTACTCACTTGTGGCTGAGGTGTATCACGATTGCTGGATTCACCACTTTGAATAGTTTCATTATCTTTGTAAATCTCATGACTTATATTTTTACCAGTCGTCGGATCTACGATATCAGTAATAGCATTTTGTCCTCTTGGTTTCCGAGATTTTGTCGTACTATTTGACGCACTTGTTGCACCACCATTATGACCTGAGTACATATCTTTAAATAACAAAATACATGATTCACAATATATACAAAGACCTAATTGATTAATCAATTAATGTTGAATTATTCAAATAGTAATATTTGTTATTAGCATCTTCAGTTTTTGTATATACTACAAGCTCGTGTGAGCTTGTGAAATCTACCTAAATCTCTACCTGAATTTCTACCTGAATCTCTACCTGAATCTCTATCTGAATCTCTACCTGAATTTATCAGAAAATCTCTAAACTTAACAGGTTTTAAAAGTTTGAAGTTGCGATTTGAATCCCTGAGTCATAAATAAAATTTCCTGCACTTTTTCCCTTTCTTTCAGGTATTTTTCGTTGAATTATGAGGCATTTACCCTTCATAGAGATTACCCTTCATAAATATTCTATATAATAGCGGTAAGTGTTCAGAGAAGTTTAGTTCTTAAGTAAAGTAAAATAAAATAGTGATTATTGTTGGAATTGGGGTTTCCCAAATTTGAGATACAATACTTCTTTGCAAATGTTGAACTATCATAATTTTTATAACATTTCAAAATCCTTACACATATATATGTATTTGTCTATATATACATAATATTCAATTTCATTTAAAACATTGAAACTATTTGTTAACATATTGTAATGATAGCTAACAAGGAATTTATGTATGATTGTTCTTAATTTATATAATTTTGATTCTATACATTTTACCAAATACTACTTATTTTATTACATTATATCATTTTCTCTCCAAAAAATCTACTTCTTGGAAATTACCATTAACACAACCTAACAATCTAGATAATGCAATTTATATTGAAATATGTTATGTTCATTTTGCAACTCACCAGTCTGAGAAAGAGATATACCCATGGGGGGTAAAGGCTGAGCTTGTTGCGTAGGTTGCTGCAGTGTACCTTGTGGTACTACTGGGGCTCCTTGGGCACCGGCCAGCGGGCCTGCAACATGTTGAGCCCCACCAGTGACAGCGCTTGCACCTGCTCTACTTAAACTTAGTGGTGTATTTGGTTGGCCTGTAGGCCAGTAATCTATAAAGGAACATATAATACTGATTAAATTTATTTTCGATCTTTACAGTTTTGTGTTACTTACAAGGTTGAGGAGTTGGTGCAGGTGCACCATATCCAAACATGCTTTGTGTTAAAATTGCATTATGTTGAAATGGTTGGAAATATGACTGATTTTGATGTGTAGGATGTCTTTGGGGTGGAGCGCCAAACTAAAATTATAAAATATTTATTACATTTATAGTCATTATCAATAAAAATGATGAATATGATAGCATTTTACAAGCAAGTAATGATATGTTTGGAAGAAAAGAGAATAATGTTTAATTGCAAAATAACACTTAAATACAATAACTTTTGTCAGAAACTATTCTTTTGATGACACAAATGAAATGAATGATGCATGACGATAAATATATAAAATCAACAGTACTTAACTACTACCTGAAGGGGCATTTGATTGTTCATTGTGTATAAGGATTGCTGATGGGGGATCTGATGTGGTACTTGGTATATTGCTCCAGTTTGAACTGGCAAACCACTCGTATGATATATTGCAGTTGGTTGACCTCCACTTCCACCAACTCCAGACATTCCAACTACTTGTGCACTAGTACCCCCTTGACCCCCTCTGTGGCTGATGCCTCTTGGCTGTTGTGGCCTAGGACCCTGGTAATAACCCTGAAATTGATAATGCAATTAATAAGTAAAATTTATAAGTTGATGTGCATTTATATATAGAATTAATATCAAATTGATCGCTTATAATATATTATACTACAGATACATAAATAAAATTTACAATATATTTTAAATATTTCTAATACTTTTTATAAACATTAATATGAAATATATAAATTCATATAGTTAATACACGATAATGAAAGTTCTTATAAACAACCATTTTTTCTTAACAATTTCCTCTTACTTGGGATGATGGCCTTGTTTGCGTTGGCCCATATACTTGAGATAGAGGCTGTGGTTGAGGTTGCATATGGGCCTGTTTTCCCATTTCCTGCGGTGATGGAGTATGTACAGGAGGTGTCGTAGTTGGAGCCGGACCTTGCGGCGGTTGTGATTGTACCCCCGGTGCAGGGGTTTGTGGTGGTGCTTGCCCTCCAGCAGGACCTCCTGGTGGAATACCTGCTGCTGATTGTCCAATGGACTGTAAGCCACCGAGTGGTGGAGGTCCTCTGCCCCCAGGTACTCCTACACTACCCCCTCCCCCACCCACCTGGCCCCCTGGTTGGGTGCCGTAATTTTGACCAGACACATGAAAATCTGATCCTGAAATTCAAAACAAAAAAGATATTAAACATTAGGCTTGAAATATCTGAAAAATTTAAATGTAAATAATTGAATTTTATAGATAAATAATATAAATAGACATTAAAATTATCTCTAACAATGTTATCGCTATATTATAGCTTGTATTTTCATATATATATCTAGAAATGTTTAAATGCTTCATTCATTTTCATATTTATGTTGTTATACTAATTGTTTTAAGGGAAAACAAAATTTAACTGTTACCATATGTGTAAAAAACAAACTTAATTTCCTTCAAATAAAAATCAAGATTTATGTTTGCGACTCTTTTATGACGATCACAAATAGATGATTTAACACATATCTGTCAAATACTTTATATTGTACTGTAAAATCAAAGCATTTATTTATACAATGTGAAACATATTTCTGAAAAACTATCTAGATATATAAAACAGACATTAATTTCCTGTTAATGAGAATCTATTGTTTCGACAATCTTACCGACTTTACGAAAACTTTCATATATGAAATGCAATGGGTTCCTTACATGCATTATTATTATACGGGATTATTATGCATAATTAATATACGGGAACAAAAAATAATTTATTTTCCTATCTAAATTATAGTCGAGTATCGTTTTCCACATACACAGGGGCATACAATGACTCGTAAAAAAGTGATATCGCTAATTGCTATAATGTAACAAGAACTTCATTTTATCATTTAGCTATTAAATATATATATCTGGTTTCGTAATATAAACAAGAAAAAAGAAAAGAAAAGAAAATAGATAATTATACACTCAAGTTTGCATATGCGCGATATTATCCTACCATAATATGTTCGCCATTCTGTCGTTAAATGAATTACTCGTGAAAGCGATTATGCGTGGAATTGCATGACATCGCTTGACATGTCGTCGTTGTCGTCATCGTCTAAGAGATACAGCATGATTGATTATGCATATGTATTATCAAAACATCGAATGGATTACATTTATTATCCCTAAACGACTCTATATACTTACAATAAGTATTACGCATAAGGTACATGCATTTTCACAAAAACATGGAAAAACTTTATCACCACATGCTACGACTTTATGACGAGAAAATACGTTAAGGACATAGAGAGATAAATGAAGGAAAAAATATGGATATTTGAGCGCTCACCGTTGAAAATCGAAACAAAGCTGGTTATCGTGTTTTGTCACGGAAATACTATGTTTATTCGTACAAGCGAATTTTTTATAATGAAAGAACAATGAAGTGACAACAAGGCTGAAACGTGAGCAAAGAAACCGAGAAGACGGCCTCGCGAACGGCCATCTTTGCACATGTGGACAGGGCTCGAAGCAGTGCTGCTATCTGTAGTCCCGTGAGTACATTGATTGCTACGAAAGGGGGGCGAGGCCGAACTCCATCACCAGGATCGTATTAACTACCGCACCGTGAAAACACACAAATTAAATGTATCCATAATATAATAGCAAAGAAATTCAGAACTTTATGTCGTACATATTGGACTCATTTGTTGCGAAAAAGTTGTAGTGAGTAATGTATCGACCATATTTTAATAAAGTAAGTTCATTAATTTATCGTCCTTTAATAGAATGAAAAGAGAGTTGTATCTTTCTTTTTTATATCACTTACTGCAAATTACTTTTTTAAAAGATTAGAAGGCGTTTCACATTGAACTGTAATACGGTTGTTTTATTTTCGGTAGTAGTTTATGTATATTCGAGTAAGCTCTATCATATATTATTTTATACATAAAATGTTTATTTATGTAACATGCGAGTTAAAAATAATTTTTGTCATATTCTCTATCATCATACACTCATATTGAAAAAATTGTAGAGTTGATAATCTTATTTATTCATAAAAATATTGATAAATAGATATGTACGTATTCCCGCAATATATATATATATATATATATTAACAGAGTGAAAGAACATGGCCTGAAAAATAATCCAGAATGCAATACGTCATTTCCGGTGCCGATTCCTTCTCTCTCTCCTCTCATTCGCGCGCGCACGCACACGTACCGACGCTTTCTTCTCCCCCTCACTCTACATACATACACACACACATACACGCGCGCGCGCGCACTAAATTTGATTTTCCCTATTCAGCCAAGCGAGATGAATTGAACAAAATTCGGAAAATTTAAATACAAGGAGAAATCAGCATTACACATAATATGATGTATATGACAAGAAAAGTGAGGTTAGAACGACCACACTTTAGCCACGTGGCTGGCCAATATAAGAATAGTAATACACTTATACGATAATCATAAAAACGAGATCTTTTAATGTTGGAAGAATATTATCAAAAGGTAAATCATACTATCTCAATGACTCCTCTGACTTTCGAATTTTGAGAAAACTGCTTTCAATTCGCACTTCATCCTTTAAATATTGAACTTTATAAGTAAAATGCTGTTATTAACCTAAATAATAGATTAAGCGCAATAAGAAAAATAGCTACAGTTCGTACAAAATATCTGAAGTAATATTATATAATTCATTTTTGAAACAGCTGCTCATTCATAGTCATTATTGATATTAATACTAATATTATTGCTCAGTATTAGTTGCCATCGTATATTAGGAAATAAACTTTCTGTATCTATGGATTTAAATGTAATCTTTGAAGAGTCAGTACTGACTAAAGTAATATGATAAAAATTATAGAAATAAATATAATAGACAAATTTTTTAACTATTATAAGTATCTATAAAATATTATGCTTTCAGCAATCAATCACGGTTCAAAAAACATTTTTCAGATTCATGAAAATAAAATATAACAATTGTAGTACAAAAATTTTCATTGATATAACATTGTACATATAAATGCATGTTATTTTATTAATTTACTAGAAGCTATTAATAACAGTATATGTATATTTATTCAATAACATATATTTAACTTAAAGAAAAAATAATATGTTAAGTAAAATAATTAATTGTACTTGAAATGAACAAAATATTGAAAATGTATAAACTTCAAAATTCTTAGAATGGCAAGAATTTCTTGATATCGTAGTACATTGGCGTCATCACGGCGAGACATGTCATACAAGAGTGCAAGAGGAAAGAATCGAACGTACCTTCGCGACTGTATAAGGTAGAAAGCATTTTATCGATTGACCTATATCGTGAATTGTCTACAATGCCGCCCAGGGGCGCTAAGGACTAACCTAAATACTAACTACTCGATATGTATATCGATACAGTAGTCAATCGTAAATGACGAGTGATTTATTAATCAAGTCTTCTTAAATACCTGTCTTGACGGGAAGATTTTAACTATTTAAAATTTTGAAACAAAATTTATTTCACGTTAAAGAAATTAAACAACAAATATGCATATTAAATTTTTAACATTTATATTGATTTATGCTGGAGTTACTAGGAATTCGATTTGATGGAATTGGATTAGTTTCACAAAACAAAACTCACATAAGAAGATATTAGCGTACACTAAATCAAAAACATGGTTTTCGTTACTATAAGTGAAAGTATCGTAAATTAATTTTTGTAATCACTATGTGGTATAAATCGAGCTTAGCCGCGTATCTACAAATAGATGCAAACGATTCGACTTCTGACAGATAGGGCACCAGGTCAAATTAACTACCTCCAGTGTGCTCGAAAATAACGGGCTTCATGTATGTACATCTCTTTCTATATATATAGATGCGCGGTGTTATACACAGAACATATATTTGTCGAGTTCTCCTTAGGGTTGGGGGCGTGTAACGAATTTTCATTTGGATTAACCATTGTTGTTATACAATATGGATGATACTGGTATAAATATGATTAGTGGCGATTAGATACTCGAGATGCTAATGACAATGATCTTAGGTTCAATAACAATTTCACGGTCAACGGGATAGCAAATGCGTTTTCTTCCAAAGTCTAAGTCGAACTCAACTTACTTGTCCATAGTACAAGTAGAACTCAACTTACTTGTCCACAGTACAAGTAGAACTCAATTTACTTGTCCACAGTACAAGTAGAACTCAACTTACTCGTCTACAGTACAACTAGAACTCAACTAACTCTCTCAGTCCAAGTGGAACTGCACTTATATACTCTTCTCCGTACCTTTCTGTACCCCTCGGGTTAACTATATTTTTAAGGAGACCTATACAATTACTCCATACCTCTGTTAGGTAAAAACGTCCATCCCGTGACCGTGGCTACGTTTAGCGACCCGTTGTGTCACTTCGAACCCAAGCCTATTGTCATAAGTCTCGGGCACACATAATCGGATTAAATCCTAAACAACTATTTCTAAGTTTTATTATTTAAGTACCGCTATAATGAAAGGCCTAGACTAGAGTATTGGGGGTCTTCCCAAAAATTCCAAAAGAAAGGCCCCGATGTCCTTTCATCTCCGACATATTTATACATATGCACTGGCATACGAAATAAATAATTTAACCATTCAGATAAAAACGGAGAATCATGAAAGATTGCAAACCAATGAAAACTGTATTGAATATGTGGTTGAATGGATTTTAAAAATATTAAGGCTTAACTGGAGTAAATAATAAAAGTTGTTTGAGTAAATAAGTAAATAAATATAGTAAGTAAATAAGTAATAAAAATAAGGATAAACAAATGAGGTCAGGATGCTTCCATTGGTCACGAAAATGTATGTCCATGATGGAGCAAATGAAGAAGAAATGAATGAGATTTTGCTTGGGCGAAATATGTACATGCAAATAAATGTCTAACGCGACTATAGTAAGAACATAATACCTATTTCTAACTTGTTTACTAAGAGAAGTTCTAAGAAGATGATAAACGAACAATAAATAGACGACTATAAGACAGAAGCTAAGTACATATTTATGTCCTTATATTTTTATAGTATTATGTGGAAGAATTTTAGACCTTTCCATCATGAAGCTTTTTTATTTAATATTTTTCAAATAGTAAAATTTGTATATTACTTGCTATCCATGATTATTAATACTTTGAATGCCATGGGGGTCACCGGTGACTGGCGCACCAAGATTAGTAGAAATGCATAATTTGAACAAATGTCAATAGTTATAAATTTGTTATTATTACCATTGTTACTACAATGGTGTAATTAATGTAATGACGAAATTAATGCAGTATAAAACATATAAAAATAGTTCTATTTATACATGAAATATAGATCTGTCTTATGTACGCCCCGGTCCTGCACCAGTGGCTGTCGAACATGGGAAAACCCGCTTTTACCTTAGTGAATAATAGCCCTAAGGAACATTTCAACTTGAAAGATGTTTGATGGCAATTAAGAGCTTTGAAAGTAAAGTAACAAATGCTAAATCTTGCTACGGTCCTTTAGGATTATTGCGAGTCCGAATAAGTATGACCGAGGGATGGATTATAGTTTATGGTAGGTCCCGGAACGGACCAATAGAACAATTATTTGGCAACGCGAAGAAACAATATGAGATAATTGATAATGGAAAAAAATAAGCGAATCGAGCGTAATTGCATTACAGCGCTATGGGGGTCACCGGTGATCTCAGTGAGATAAATTCATTAATGATTATACACCGTAACATACCTTTTGTAAGTAATATTTCAACATTATATGTATCGCATAATAAAAAATCGTGACGCCACCGCCAAACCTTGTAAAACTGCCGTGGCATTCAACGTGTTAAATTTTAAAGTTAAAGACTTGTCTTGTCAAAAAGTGATTAAGAATGTTGAATAATAAATCGTTCACTAAATATCAAGAAAATTTTAAATAATTTAAAATCTTACGCTGTTATCTAAATCTTCTTTGATATATTCCGAGAATTTATTGTACGACGATACTCGAGTCACAAATTTGATTAAAATTTACTGCTTAATCAGTAAATAAAAGTGTGTTAAATGTACAATTGAGCAGTAATCGACAAATAAAGGAGAGAAGGAAAATACATTTGCATTATATTTTTGCAGGTATTATAAATTAGAAGTATAACGTCGTATACCAATTTTCAGTTTTCTACTTCGACTGGAAGGATAGTTACTGGGTGAATTCGCATTATCCGTTTTTACGCTATTTTCCTTGTTTAATGTAATGCAAAATGTTGGCCTGTTAGAGAATTCTTTTAGATTTTTTCGTTGCAAATCTTAAATGCAAAAAATGAAAAACGTAAAAAAAATGCTGAGAAATATAGATTTTATATAGAATTTTCAGAGTGACCACTATTTTATTTCTAAGGTAGCGACATGTTACTTTGACTATTGTCCTAAATCTTTTTCAGATCTCTTGGCAAGGTGCACCGTAGTTAAACAAATCAGAAACCCTTTTTCCGACCTATATGTCCCTTATCTTCTGGGGCATTAATCATCATTTTAACCGCGGTTATGGTTAAAATATTCGACTGTGAAATGTTTCTGTATGAACTTTTTTTTGTCATAGTTTCGTCCCTCACGGAAATTCAGTTTTTTATGCTAATTTTTGTCAATTGTTAGTTACCTGATGATAAACGATATTCACTTGCAAATGTTCTAAAAATACTTTAAAAGTATTTTATCATAAAATGTACATAAAAATTAGAACTCAGGACATTACATATTGTCTTCATCATAAGTCATCAATATGGCATGGAATTAATGATACAAAACAAACTTAAATTTGTATGCGAACCAACTACCAAAAAATTTCATAGAGATTTCCTTGTCGAATACCTTAACAACCACTTGTTTCACTACATCGTTGAATGGACAAATGATATTTTAAAACCTAAAAGATAAAAACATATTTTTTTTCAATTAATTGAAGTAGTTAATTCTTTTCACTTATATATTATTTTTTCGAATATAAAAATGTTGAACACCGCATAATATATTCACTGTATTTAAAAAATGCAAAAATTAATGATATTGATCACGTTTCTACTCAAAATTCCTGGACAAAATCGGTGTTTGATTTTTTAAACTGTAGTATACATTGTTAAAAAATATTTGACAAAAATTTGAGGATAATAGGCATGCTAATATGTTGTTACTGTCAAAATAGAAAAGTGGTCGCTCTAAAAACTATATAGGAAATCTATATTTTTAAGAACGCTTTTGCATTTCTTCTTTTTTAAGTTTCTAAAATACATGACCGTGTCTGCAATAACCCAGAATTTCTGAGAATTTTTGCATACAATTAAATAGAGAAAATAGGATAAAGGCGAATATTCCAAATTCAATCTAACTACTCTTTCGGCCGAGATAGAAGGCCGGAAATTGGTTTATGTTTTCTTTTGATAAGCTATAGAATGGTGCATCACCAGATGAAATCGGTTCAAGGACACTTTTGACCTCCTTATCCTTTTATATGCTCTTCCTCTTACACATATGTATATAAGTTATTCTAATTATTTTAATCTTTTATTTTTTAATTTCAACAGTTTGTATAAATTAGTGAAAAACAATTTTTAGTAAATATTAATACCAAGTAATCTATTATTAAATATGAGTAATTTGTTTTTTTAATGACGTCAATAAAAGAACTTTTGTTAGATGTTTTAAGACTGAAAATGGCATATTTTTGAATGAAGTATCCTTGTACTAAGAGAACATACATACGCTCAGGAAAAGTATAACAGTTAAACTTATAACAATTAAATAAAATTATAACAATTCAATTATCTTAATGGTTATTTGTAAAATTCAAATCAGATACTTTGAATGTTGGACAGTTACCTTATTATAAATTAAATAATTTACAAAACAATACTGCTCAATCGATACATGTAGCTAATCATTAAATTTTTAATAGACTGTTCAGTCAGATAGTTCATTACATGTGAATATTGTACAACGATCGAAATGCATATAAATATATATGTACATTGTACATATCTAAAGGTAGGATATGTATTTCGTTCGAATATTTTTTCAACCAGTTTTGTAATTTCATAAAAAAAGAAGATAATATATTCGTAATTTTAATATATTACTGCTATCAAGGAAGATATTATATGTAAAACGTCCGATATAATCTTCGTTCTCTTTATTTCGCCCTCGCTCTTCATTGATTGTTCTTGTACTTACTAGCATTTGCAGTAACGACGCGATATTGTGGCGGTGCTTGTTGATGCTGGGTTTGTTGCTGCTGTTGCTGCTGATGACTCAGATGGTTAATGTTAACTGTCAACTGATGATGGCTCAGCTGATGATTCAAGTGGGGACTCGGCGAGGGTGGTGGCTGATGGGCCGGATGCACGTGGTGATTATGACCTGGCTGTGGATTTTGTGGGTGGGGGGCCGAAAGATGATGATGGTGATGGGGCCCTCCACAATGTGGCAAGAGACAGTGCATAGGTCCTACACCTACGGCTACACCCACTGCGCCCTCCTTAGAGACGCCATATCTCGAAACCATTCTTCCTGATGTACCTTTTTCTTCTTATCCAGCGTCAAAATTACGCACCGCCTTTGCCGATAAGATTGATCAAAAAAAGATTGATCAGAACAAACCGTTTCCGTCGATCCTTTTAAAAATCTTTTCAAATGACGAATTCATTAGGATTCGAACGATCGATGCTTTTACAAAAATATAATAATTAAAAATAATTCTGCATAAATTTTCAATCAACCAATTTTTTACCGTTGGAGCAGTGCTATCATACGTGTTCATTCGTTTATATTCTTAAATAATATACGCGAGATCGTATAAAAACACGTTTCTCAGTTAGCTGTGTCGTAAAAATAAGTAATGTTTTTTTTGTCTCTTTCTTTTTTTTTTTTTTGTTATTGTGTAGACGAGCACAAAACTATTGATAGGTTCAATACATTGAACAAACAGACAATGGTGTCAAGTGCAAAGAGCTCATCGATATTTAACCGACACTACTTTCGTTGTCCACGAATCTCTCAATCGGCAATGCTGCACCATGATGTCATCATCTACTTGATCGACAATGTAACACAAGGCTTTACGAATGGAGTTCATCTATCGTGATAGTTGAATACGCCCTGCGGTGGAAGTCACGAGAGGTTTTCTTTGAAGATACTGGCAGTATTGTTGATTCTCCTTTTTTCTTTAAATATTCATAAGGTTTCCTTTATTCATACATGTATAGTCATTTCTGACTTTCTTCTCTAATACGATATTATACTTTTTCTTTTTCTCAAGTTTAGTTAGTGGAATATATCTTCAATTTCACTTATTAAGGTATTTAACGCGAACCGCGCCATAAATCATGCTTGAAAATGGAAATTCTTCAAGGCTAGGGGGAACGTAGATCAAATTCTTGAAAATTGTAAAAATTTGAAGAACGACGTAATTTCCATTGGTACGGTAATAAAAGGAATAAGATATTTCTTGACCAACATTTAATGGTATGATCGATCGATAGTCACCGAATATTCCTGCCTGAGACGTGTTTTATAGACAAAATGTCTGTACACGTGATGATCGGAAAACAACATTTTTCATTCGACACTTTTCAAAAATAGTATGACAAAAATAAATTCACTCGTGTGATTCCATTATTCAAGTAACAATTGCCCACAAATGAAATTTAATTTTCTGCCAGAAAATATCGCACTACCATATTGTTTTTGTTTCGATGCATGCGATGCCACTTGATGTAATAGACCCGCACTCAACTGTCAAAACTTGTCAACGTGGAGATGCACAAAGGTAAGAGACACGCTGAAACGGACGGACTATCGCACCTCTTCCATGCCAAAATCGATATTTAAGGCTCGACCGGCGTCTCCCTCTTCGCACCGCCCACTCCTGCCAGAGAAAACTTCCTGTTCTCAGGGCACATATAGGTTATGTCCACCGTAGATTTACCACTAAAACGGAATCAAGCGTCACCAGGAGTCCATTTCACAGGCCAGAAACGTTTGAAATCTTTTCGCACGTTTTCCTTCTTCGCTATTGTATTACTAAGGGAAGTCTCGAGACTTGATGATCGGAGGTATTCGGCCGCGTGCCGAAAAGTACCGAGTCGCGCGTTCTCTGTAGTTCCCCGTATCGAGATTTATGAACGCGATAAAAAGCGCTGTAGGTAAAGAAGCGAATTGCTCGCAACACAATGCACACACGGAGACTTTAGTAACACTAAGAATATTCAATAGCACGCACGTTATATAGTCGAGAAGGAAAATGTATACGGGATGTAAAAGTTAAAACTGAGCAGAGGAAAATCGAAAAGGCGTCAAATCCGTTCCTAGGTTCCGTGAGATTCTTTATACGGACACCATAAGGTTGTCCGAAAATGTCGTCCTTCTTCAAGGACTTCCTTGTTCCTTGTTCGATATTACAATCGAAATATGGTATATATTTAACGATGCGTTTATAGCTGTGTAACGTGTGCACTCGGAGAGGGGAGAGATAAATCAACGAAGACGTGAAGACGAGCGTACCCTTTTGCAAGGGACGCGACGTAGACTGATGCAGGCTAGTCCTTCTCGCACGACCTACGAATCGCGACCCGTGGCTCCCTACTTGTTTCGTTCTGCAACTAAGGAGTGACAGGATCGTGCATCGATTTTAAAAGTACCCTTTGCTACATGACAATTTCAGGCATCTGATTTCTTTTCAATTCTTATAAATACAGTATCTCAATTATTCTCAATAAAGAATTAATGATAAACTATTATTTATTAAAAAATGCTATACAATATCAAATATTTAAAAAAAAATCATTAAAAGAGCGAAATATTTATTATTAAGCACTATCTTTCTACTTTTCACTCATGAAAATAAAATCCTTATTTTATTATATTTAAATTGTTATCGAAATAAATAAATGTCTATGTACAATCTCTTCAAATAAGTTTTTACTTTCAAATATACAAAAGTATATAAATATATCAGATTTTGATCACGTTGGAAAGATATTTTTTAAATAACATTACTTAGTATAGTTAGGTCTGCCATTTTATATGAGTAGCGAAGTGAAGAATTCAAATTTCATAACTGTTAAATACACGTGTTGTAATACGGCCCTGAAAAGTAGTCAAACGCCAAACCCACACCGAGTCGAAGGTACAGCCGCGTGCGCAGACCAGTGGACAGAGTGCAAAGCCCTGCGCATGCGTAATGGACGTCGACACGGCAGACCCTTCAACTCGCATGAATGCAGTAGGCGCAGCCCCACGACACTTGAGGGTAAGATGACGTGCAGCCTTGTGCATGCGCGCATATAGTCAATTCACCTTAACTTCGCCACGATGTCACACCCGTCTGTTTATACTTTGTATTACTGTGAGAATCAAATGTGCTTGTACATAGAATAAATATTCTTCAAATGTTAATAACAATATTTCAGAATTTCCAAAAATTTTATCTTTCCAGCAGTAAAATTTCTTTAAAATCTTTAAAATAATAAAAATTCACATAAATACAATAGAAATTACTTTCTCGTAAATTCTGAATGATTAATTTTTTTCATTAATAATATTGGCGAATTTATATTTCTCAAATAAAATTATTTATTCATAATGTAATAAAAACGATCTATGATTTATATAAACAATATAAGCTTGGCAATCATTTTTATAGTGGAAATATTCAGATTTCTACAATTATGTTAAAGGACTTAGTTATTAATTCTTAATTTAATGCCAATATATTTTGTATGAATGAAAGTTCAATGGCGTAATATCGACATTTTTACAAATAATACAATTAATCATAAGATTTCTTACAAATATCTCACAAAATATTTCTACGGGAGATAATAAGTAATATATTTATTAATTGTAAGTCTATCCAGTTATACTACGGAAAAAATAGAACATATTTGAAACAAGAGCTGCAAATGTGGATTGACATCCTTTATCTTTCTGCACCGCACGTTCCAAACAAATATGTATTATGACTCTGTATTATGCATCCCAGAATCTACGTCAAAGTCATACGTACAAACATACTTAAAAGTGCGATAAATGTTTCAATATCGCATATACTTCTTTCCATCCTACTATATCGTTTGGGTCATTTTCGATTCAATCATGCTCTTCTACCATTAAATAACTTTTCATGTTTGAGGAAAATATGTACCGTTATCCATACACATAATTTCTCATATTAGTTTCATACAAATCTTTCTTAAATCAAAAATCTTTTCATTTGTTAAAGCGAAAGTGAAATTTCAATATAAAAAGACGAAAGCCATAAGCCAGTTAAACCAATGTGTTGATTATTTAGTATCCCCTGTGTCATAATTAATCGTTATCTAAATATGCTTTTAAGAAATAATTTTTAATAATCATATGAATTAGTTTTCACTGTTTAATCGATAAATACGACAAAGCAGCTGAAATGCTCAATCATTTGCAATTCAAACTTCTCCCTACGCGACAATAAACAATGATTTCATGAATCAAAACATGTATGTAATCATAGGATATATGCATACACTGCTACCAACAGTGAACGTTCCTCTATTATTGTCGCAAGAAAAGGGATGGAAGGAGTGTAGTATATTTCTTAATGACAATCAAGATGATGCGATGGAGCAAACAGAGGAAGTAAGAGAAGAACGAGCAGTCACGAAGATGCACGAGTGTATCCCATGTGTGGGCGAAAATGCACGAACGTGTGAATACAGAGAAAAGAAGAAACACAAGAGGCGTGCTCGGCTTCGTTCAAACAAGGAACAAGATCCGCGAATGATGTGTATAGGTTAGGTAGGTAACCCAGTTTCGCCGGTGCACCAGGCCAGGCTGCAGCAACGCCGTTCAACGATCGATACGTATATGCACCCCGGTACTGCCCACAACCTAGATTCTCTTGTCTAGGATAGGTGCAAGAAGGGGATTGCGTGACCTACATCTTATGAACAAATGTTACGAAAAAATGATTTAGAGATATAACGTCAAAGTTCATTTATTAACAATGACATCATAGAATGGAGAGAATGATTCTCTTGTACTGGTATATTAAATTCAAATTTGATTTACGATTCTTATCCTTAGATTACCTAGGTCTTGATAAATATCTTTGAAATATTTTAATCTTGATACTGAGTTGACGTACTTGGCAAGTGAAGTTTAAGGTTCTGAGTAAAGCTTTCAGTGCCATTTGCGCATATACGTAAATGGTGTAATTTAAAAAATCTCATATATGTGGAATCAGGAATCATTTTTGCGATTAACAGGAAACATTTTCCATTGTAAAATGTTTTATTAACGGCAGTGAAAGATATAAATTATTGATTATTATTATCAAGAATATAATTACATTAAAAATTTTGCAAAATCCTATTTTTGCAACTTTACTTAAAAAATTAAATCTATTATTCAGAACTATAACCTAATTTTCAATACGACAAAAAACAAAAAATATTGATGTTTCAGTTGAATGCATATATGTACATTTAAGGGATAATTTCAAAAATATATTTCCATAACGGCAGAAGATCTTTGTGTACAAAACGACGCAATAGTGATAAGAAACAATCATTCAGCTTTTAACCTTGAAATCGTAAAAATGCAGAGATCTATGTCCCTTGAATATAAAGCATCGAGCGAAAGAATTAATACCTCTGCACACATACATCTCGTCTTTGTTTTGTGACGTACATGTGTATATACATAATGTACAAGACACATATTGCGTATATAATAGCGAATGGAGTCCAAACAGACAAGAAGAAAACCGTCTGGTCGCTTAAACAAAAAAAGAGCGAAGGATTTCGGGGGATGAAAGGTAAACTGTGCGTCGAAGACGTACAAAATGTTTTATGGGGAGGGCAAGGAAAGGGGGAGAAAAAAGGAGTTAGGTCGTAACCTCCAGCAACCTTTGGTTAACTCGGTTCAAACATTTCACCCAGACGAGACGTAGTAGTTCAAAATCCTCTGGTGAAAACATAGCCACTGACTCATGTTTGCCAAAAGATTTCAAGGAAACCAGGCACGATCACAAACTTTTCCTAAGTACACAATGATTCAGTGATAATTACGCCTCTTAAGCGAAAACTAAATTTTCGTGATTCATTCGATATACAAGATTAAGTAATCTTAAAACTATTTATATGAAAGATATTACTGAAAAGGAAAACATAACAATTCAGATACTGGTAGCTTGTAATATTTTCAAGAACGCATTTACTCGAACGTATTTCAGAGAAATATAAAACCTTTGGTGTAGGATGTTGACCAAAAATGTGCGTGCATTATAAAGATTCCATAGAAAAGACGAGGACCGAGATACAGGAGAAAAGTAGATACTAAAGATTCTCGCGGGCCATAGAAGTCAGTTTCCAGGGGTCTTTGAGCCCTCAAGCCGTTGACCTTGGAAAGGTAGCATGGAAATCTTGTGGTGTGAGAGCAGTAGTACTCTGCCTCTCTACGTAGGCGTTCGGTAGGAGGTTACAAGCCTGCAAGAGGAAAAAGGCTAGTCGCAAATGTAGAGGAAAGGAATAATGCCAGTAAACGTATGTCTGGATAAAGACAGAGAGTCTCTATGAAGGGAGGGTCGATATTTACCGGCTTTCCCCCTTCTCTCAGCCGGGCAACGACCTACCGCCCCTTGCGTATCCGTTAAATCCACTCTTTTACCCTTCGTATCGCTTTCTGTCTTACATTCAATTTCTCTCTTCTCTCAGCCCCTTCGCCGTTTCTGTCCCGAGGCACGTTCAACCGCCCATAAGCATTCTCCTTCTCCCTTACTACCCTGAGTGTCACTACGTTACACGTTATTGTGTCCTAACCCTGAAACGACCCAGCTTGTGTCCCTTGAGATGTCCAACTACCAAGAAAGACACCGTGGTCAAGAGCGGGGACTCGACCGTGGCTCATCCAATATACGTGGTGAGCACAAAACAGGAAACCCCCATCACCCTACCATAAATCATCTGCCTTAAAAATATCCAAATGTTGAATACGGTACAATAGTATACAAAAATACCAATTTTTACGAGTTCAGTTTAATTATTCATAGTATATTTATGTAATTGTAAATATGCATACTTTAAAACCAGTTTCAGTTATCGTTTGATTCAGTATTGTTTAGCTCTGATGGGAACGTAAGGCTACTTTTATAGTTGATTTTTTTTGCATAAAACCATCTTGTGACAAGAGCGGTACGAAACAAACATGTTTAACACGTTTATAAATGTATTTTAAAGTTCAATGTTAAGTATGTCTAGCGTAGTAAATGGATATATTAAATAGTACAAGCAATACATGTAAAAATAGTAACAGAAAATGATAATGCTAACAAATTTTAATGTGTAATACGTATGTACATCGATATTACTTAAAATTTTAGTATGAATTACAGGACGATGCTGTACTGCCATCTGTGCGTATCAACGAACAGATCAAGGAATTCCGCCAACTCGGTCGGTAAAGGAATGTGCAATTCAAAATGATTTTTTCTAACAGTTTGGTGTAAGTTCAATTAAAAATGTAACAATAATATATGCTTACGTAAAAAGATCCGAAAATAT